CATTGGAAGAGACAACCACAGGCATCACTCCATCTGTCGGAGTCCAAAAACACAAACATCCCCCTTAGCCGGTTCAGCGTCTCACTCAAGCTCTCCATCGCAGTCAGATGCCACCTATTTACCGATGGAAACGTTTGCATCACCAAAAGTAACATCAGATGAACCTGCTACAACTGCTCACAGTATTCTCCCGTCTCCAGAGACCTCAACTTCTTCAGCTCTCTCCACAATGGAGTTATCAACACTGATGGAAACTTCAACCAAAAGTCTCAATACTATATCACACACCACATCCACACGAGAATCCGGTCCCTCTCCGTATTTCACAGCAACGAACTCGTTGTCTCCCAAAACTGACGTGACAGCAGAAACTGTCTTCACCACTGTTTCATCCGTTGCCACGGAGGAATCTTCCACAAAGCCTGTTTCACATTCCACCTTCCAGGTGTCAATCGGAACAGCAAAAACACCACTTGGATCAGAAATAACAACAATCAAGTCAATAACTGATTTGTCTACTCACTCACAAACACGCTCTGACACTCCTCCAGGACCTTCAGAGCACACCATCACTCCGTCTGAGTCAAAAGTATCCAGCACGCAAATGGAAACCTCCTCCCCACAGCAATCGACAGTCTTTCAAGCAAGTACAGATGATCTCACGGCCATGGTTTCTGAGCAGACCGCAAGCTCTGCTTCTTCAATGTATTCCACAGAGGAGTCAACGTCCATATCTGAGCTTTCATCTGCAGCACTTTCCATTTCCACACAGTCATCTAACACTCAAGAAGTTCGCTCATCATCCCATGCTTCTCCAATGTCATCAACATTTCTCACTCCTGAGATAACACCACATTCAACGTTCATCTCAACAAAATCAAGCATCAATGAAGAGACTCCATCAATGTTTGCTTCTCATTCCACCATTCAGATATCCAGTAGCACAGCAAAGTCATCTGTAGAAGCATCAACTAGCACAGTTACTCAGTCCACTCACAGCACGGACATAAGTTCTCATGCAACTCCTTCAACTGAGGTGAGCAGCTCATCTGAGTCACATGTACCCTCTCTCCCTGTGGAACCCTCATCTTCTGCCAAACCAACATCTCAAGGAACAAGTACGATTGCTGAAGGTGCGACTGTGACTCAGGAAAGCAGTAGCTCCGCTTCCTCCTCAAGATTTCAAACAATTCAGTCATCAACTCCCTCTGACACTTCACCACAGTTGTCTCCAACTTCTGGAATTGCATCTACACATCTATCAACTGGTGGCACATCTGACAGCACAGCCACATACCCGTCTGCTGCCTTTACTAAACCAAGTGAAGAACCAACCCTCTCCACTTTGTCAACTCCAAATGAACCTTCCACTCGCTTGAATACACTTTCCAGTTCACAAGTGTCAAATCTCACAACAGAATCAACATTGGCATTGGAAGAGACAACCACAGGCATCACTCCATCTGTCGGGAGTCCAAAAACACAAACATCCCCCTTAGCCGGTTCAGCGTCTCACTCAAGCTCTCCATCGCAGTCAGATGCCACCTATTTACCGATGGAAACGTTTGCATCACCAAAAGTAACATCAGATGAACCTGCTACAACCGCTCACAGTATTCTCCCGTCTCCAGAGACCTCAACTTCTTCAGCTCTCTCCACAATGGAGTTATCAACACTGATGGAAACTTCAACCAAAAGTCTCAATACTATATCACACACCACATCCACACGAGAATCCGGTCCCTCTCCGTATTTCACAGCAACGAACTCGTTGTCTCCCAAAACTGACGTGACAGCAGAAACTGTCTTCACCACTGTTTCATCCGTTGCCACGGAGGAATCTTCCACAAAGCCTGTTTCACATTCCACCTTCCAGGTGTCAATCGGAACAGCAAAAACACCACTTGGATCAGAAATAACAACAATCAAGTCAATAACTGATTTGTCTACTCACTCACAAACACGCTCTGACACTCCTCCAGGACCTTCAGAGCACACCATCACTCCGTCTGAGTCAAAAGTATCCAGCACGCAAATGGAAACCTCCTCCCCACAGCAATCGACAGTCTTTCAAGCAAGTACAGATGATCTCACGGCCATGGTTTCTGAGCAGACCGCAAGCTCTGCTTCTTCAATGTATTCCACAGAGGAGTCAACGTCCATATCTGAGCTTTCATCTGCAGCACTTTCCATTTCCACACAGTCATCTAACACTCAAGAACTTCGCTCATCATCCCATGCTTCTCCAATGTCATCAACATTTCTCACTCCTGAGATAACACCACATTCAACGTTCATCTCAACAAAATCAAGCATCAATGAAGAGACTCCATCAATGTTTGCTTCTCATTCCACCATTCAGATATCCAGTAGCACAGCAAAGTCATCTGTAGAAGCATCAACTAGCACAGTTACTCAGTCCACTCACAGCACGGACATAAGTTCTCATGCAACTCCTTCAACTGAGGTGAGCAGCTCATCTGAGTCACATGTACCCTCTCTCCCTGTGGAACCCTCATCTTCTGCCAAACCAACATCTCAAGGAACAAGTACGATTGCTGAAGGTGCGACTGTGACTCAGGAAAGCAGTAGCTCCGCTTCCTCCTCAAGATTTCAAACAATTCAGTCATCAACTCCCTCTGACACTTCACCACAGTTGTCTCCAACTTCTGGAATTGCATCTACACATCTATCAACTGGTGGCACATCTGACAGCACAGCCACATACCCGTCTGCTGCCTTTACTAAACCAAGTGAAGAACCAACCCTCTCCACTTTGTCAACTCCAAATGAACCTTCCACTCGCTTGAATACACTTTCCAGTTCACAAGTGTCAAATCTCACAACAGAATCAACATTGGCATTGGAAGAGACAACCACAGGCATCACTCCATCTGTCGGGAGTCCAAAAACACAAACATCCCCCTTAGCCGGTTCAGCGTCTCACTCAAGCTCTCCATCGCAGTCAGATGCCACCTATTTACCGATGGAAACGTTTGCATCACCAAAAGTAACATCAGATGAACCTGCTACAACCGCTCACAGTATTCTCCCGTCTCCAGAGACCTCAACTTCTTCAGCTCTCTCCACAATGGAGTTATCAACACTGATGGAAACTTCAACCAAAAGTCTCAATACTATATCACACACCACATCCACACGAGAATCCGGTCCCTCTCCGTATTTCACAGCAACGAACTCGTTGTCTCCCAAAACTGACGTGACAGCAGAAACTGTCTTCACCACTGTTTCATCCGTTGCCACGGAGGAATCTTCCACAAAGCCTGTTTCACATTCCACCTTCCAGGTGTCAATCGGAACAGCAAAAACACCACTTGGATCAGAAATAACAACAATCAAGTCAATAACTGATTTGTCTACTCACTCACAAACACGCTCTGACACTCCTCCAGGACCTTCAGAGCACACCATCACTCCGTCTGAGTCAAAAGTATCCAGCACGCAAATGGAAACCTCCTCCCCACAGCAATCGACAGTCTTTCAAGCAAGTACAGATGATCTCACGGCCATGGTTTCTGAGCAGACCGCAAGCTCTGCTTCTTCAATGTATTCCACAGAGGAGTCAACGTCCATATCTGAGCTTTCATCTGCAGCACTTTCCATTTCCACACAGTCATCTAACACTCAAGAACTTCGCTCATCATCCCATGCTTCTCCAATGTCATCAACATTTCTCACTCCTGAGATAACACCACATTCAACGTTCATCTCAACAAAATCAAGCATCAATGAAGAGACTCCATCAATGTTTGCTTCTCATTCCACCATTCAGATATCCAGTAGCACAGCAAAGTCATCTGTAGAAGCATCAACTAGCACAGTTACTCAGTCCACTCACAGCACGGACATAAGTTCTCATGCAACTCCTTCAACTGAGGTGAGCAGCTCATCTGAGTCACATGTACCCTCTCTCCCTGTGGAACCCTCATCTTCTGCCAAACCAACATCTCAAGGAACAAGTACGATTGCTGAAGGTGCGACTGTGACTCAGGAAAGCAGTAGCTCCGCTTCCTCCTCAAGATTTCAAACAATTCAGTCATCAACTCCCTCTGACACTTCACCACAGTTGTCTCCAACTTCTGGAATTGCATCTACACATCTATCAACTGGTGGCACATCTGACAGCACAGCCACATACCCGTCTGCTGCCTTTACTAAACCAAGTGAAGAACCAACCCTCTCCACTTTGTCAACTCCAAATGAACCTTCCACTCGCTTGAATACACTTTCCAGTTCACAAGTGTCAAATCTCACAACAGAATCAACATTGGCATTGGAAGAGACAACCACAGGCATCACTCCATCTGTCGGGAGTCCAAAAACACAAACATCCCCCTTAGCCGGTTCAGCGTCTCACTCAAGCTCTCCATCGCAGTCAGATGCCACCTATTTACCGATGGAAACGTTTGCATCACCAAAAGTAACATCAGATGAACCTGCTACAACCGCTCACAGTATTCTCCCGTCTCCAGAGACCTCAACTTCTTCAGCTCTCTCCACAATGGAGTTATCAACACTGATGGAAACTTCAACCAAAAGTCTCAATACTATATCACACACCACATCCACACGAGAATCCGGTCCCTCTCCGTATTTCACAGCAACGAACTCGTTGTCTCCCAAAACTGACGTGACAGCAGAAACTGTCTTCACCACTGTTTCATCCGTTGCCACGGAGGAATCTTCCACAAAGCCTGTTTCACATTCCACCTTCCAGGTGTCAATCGGAACAGCAAAAACACCACTTGGATCAGAAATAACAACAATCAAGTCAATAACTGATTTGTCTACTCACTCACAAACACGCTCTGACACTCCTCCAGGACCTTCAGAGCACACCATCACTCCGTCTGAGTCAAAAGTATCCAGCACGCAAATGGAAACCTCCTCCCCACAGCAATCGACAGTCTTTCAAGCAAGTACAGATGATCTCACGGCCATGGTTTCTGAGCAGACCGCAAGCTCTGCTTCTTCAATGTATTCCACAGAGGAGTCAACGTCCATATCTGAGCTTTCATCTGCAGCACTTTCCATTTCCACACAGTCATCTAACACTCAAGAACTTCGCTCATCATCCCATGCTTCTCCAATGTCATCAACATTTCTCACTCCTGAGATAACACCACATTCAACGTTCATCTCAACAAAATCAAGCATCAATGAAGAGACTCCATCAATGTTTGCTTCTCATTCCACCATTCAGATATCCAGTAGCACAGCAAAGTCATCTGTAGAAGCATCAACTAGCACAGTTACTCAGTCCACTCACAGCACGGACATAAGTTCTCATGCAACTCCTTCAACTGAGGTGAGCAGCTCATCTGAGTCACATGTACCCTCTCTCCCTGTGGAACCCTCATCTTCTGCCAAACCAACATCTCAAGGAACAAGTACGATTGCTGAAGGTGCGACTGTGACTCAGGAAAGCAGTAGCTCCGCTTCCTCCTCAAGATTTCAAACAATTCAGTCATCAACTCCCTCTGACACTTCACCACAGTTGTCTCCAACTTCTGGAATTGCATCTACACATCTATCAACTGGTGGCGCATCTGACAGCACAGCCACATACCCGTCTGCTGCCTTTACTAAACCAAGTGAAGAACCAACCCTCTCCACTTTGTCAACTCCAAATGAACCTTCCACTCGCTTGAATACACTTTCCAGTTCACAAGTGTCAAATCTCACAACAGAATCAACATTGGCATTGGAAGAGACAACCACAGGCATCACTCCATCTGTCGGGAGTCCAAAAACACAAACATCCCCCTTAGCCGGTTCAGCGTCTCACTCAAGCTCTCCATCGCAGTCAGATGCCACCTATTTACCGATGGAAACGTTTGCATCACCAAAAGTAACATCAGATGAACCTGCTACAACCGCTCACAGTATTCTCCCGTCTCCAGAGACCTCAACTTCTTCAGCTCTCTCCACAATGGAGTTATCAACACTGATGGAAACTTCAACCAAAAGTCTCAATACTATATCACACACCACATCCACACGAGAATCCGGTCCCTCTCCGTATTTCACAGCAACGAACTCGTTGTCTCCCAAAACTGACGTGACAGCAGAAACTGTCTTCACCACTGTTTCATCCGTTGCCACGGAGGAATCTTCCACAAAGCCTGTTTCACATTCCACCTTCCAGGTGTCAATCGGAACAGCAAAAACACCACTTGGATCAGAAATAACAACAATCAAGTCAATAACTGATTTGTCTACTCACTCACAAACACGCTCTGACACTCCTCCAGGACCTTCAGAGCACACCATCACTCCGTCTGAGTCAAAAGTATCCAGCACGCAAATGGAAACCTCCTCCCCACAGCAATCGACAGTCTTTCAAGCAAGTACAGATGATCTCACGGCCATGGTTTCTGAGCAGACCGCAAGCTCTGCTTCTTCAATGTATTCCACAGAGGAGTCAACGTCCATATCTGAGCTTTCATCTGCAGCACTTTCCATTTCCACACAGTCATCTAACACTCAAGAACTTCGCTCATCATCCCATGCTTCTCCAATGTCATCAACATTTCTCACTCCTGAGATAACACCACATTCAACGTTCATCTCAACAAAATCAAGCATCAATGAAGAGACTCCATCAATGTTTGCTTCTCATTCCACCATTCAGATATCCAGTAGCACAGCAAAGTCATCTGTAGAAGCATCAACTAGCACAGTTACTCAGTCCACTCACAGCACGGACATAAGTTCTCATGCAACTCCTTCAACTGAGGTGAGCAGCTCATCTGAGTCACATGTACCCTCTCTCCCTGTGGAACCCTCATCTTCTGCCAAACCAACATCTCAAGGAACAAGTACGATTGCTGAAGGTGCGACTGTGACTCAGGAAAGCAGTAGCTCCGCTTCCTCCTCAAGATTTCAAACAATTCAGTCATCAACTCCCTCTGACACTTCACCACAGTTGTCTCCAACTTCTGGAATTGCATCTACACATCTATCAACTGGTGGCGCATCTGACAGCACAGCCACATACCCGTCTGCTGCCTTTACTAAACCAAGTGAAGAACCAACCCTCTCCACTTTGTCAACTCCAAATGAACCTTCCACTCGCTTGAATACACTTTCCAGTTCACAAGTGTCAAATCTCACAACAGAATCAACATTGGCATTGGAAGAGACAACCACAGGCATCACTCCATCTGTCGGGAGTCCAAAAACACAAACATCCCCCTTAGCCGGTTCAGCGTCTCACTCAAGCTCTCCATCGCAGTCAGATGCCACCTATTTACCGATGGAAACGTTTGCATCACCAAAAGTAACATCAGATGAACCTGCTACAACCGCTCACAGTATTCTCCCGTCTCCAGAGACCTCAACTTCTTCAGCTCTCTCCACAATGGAGTTATCAACACTGATGGAAACTTCAACCAAAAGTCTCAATACTATATCACACACCACATCCACACGAGAATCCGGTCCCTCTCCGTATTTCACAGCAACGAACTCGTTGTCTCCCAAAACTGACGTGACAGCAGAAACTGTCTTCACCACTGTTTCATCCGTTGCCACGGAGGAATCTTCCACAAAGCCTGTTTCACATTCCACCTTCCAGGTGTCAATCGGAACAGCAAAAACACCACTTGGATCAGAAATAACAACAATCAAGTCAATAACTGATTTGTCTACTCACTCACAAACACGCTCTGACACTCCTCCAGGACCTTCAGAGCACACCATCACTCCGTCTGAGTCAAAAGTATCCAGCACGCAAATGGAAACCTCCTCCCCACAGCAATCGACAGTCTTTCAAGCAAGTACAGATGATCTCACGGCCATGGTTTCTGAGCAGACCGCAAGCTCTGCTTCTTCAATGTATTCCACAGAGGAGTCAACGTCCATATCTGAGCTTTCATCTGCAGCACTTTCCATTTCCACACAGTCATCTAACACTCAAGAACTTCGCTCATCATCCCATGCTTCTCCAATGTCATCAACATTTCTCACTCCTGAGATAACACCACATTCAACGTTCATCTCAACAAAATCAAGCATCAATGAAGAGACTCCATCAATGTTTGCTTCTCATTCCACCATTCAGATATCCAGTAGCACAGCAAAGTCATCTGTAGAAGCATCAACTAGCACAGTTACTCAGTCCACTCACAGCACGGACATAAGTTCTCATGCAACTCCTTCAACTGAGGTGAGCAGCTCATCTGAGTCACATGTACCCTCTCTCCCTGTGGAACCCTCATCTTCTGCCAAACCAACATCTCAAGGAACAAGTACGATTGCTGAAGGTGCGACTGTGACTCAGGAAAGCAGTAGCTCCGCTTCCTCCTCAAGATTTCAAACAATTCAGTCATCAACTCCCTCTGACACTTCACCACAGTTGTCTCCAACTTCTGGAATTGCATCTACACATCTATCAACTGGTGGCACATCTGACAGCACAGCCACATACCCGTCTGCTGCCTTTACTAAACCAAGTGAAGAACCAACCCTCTCCACTTTGTCAACTCCAAATGAACCTTCCACTCGCTTGAATACACTTTCCAGTTCACAAGTGTCAAATCTCACAACAGAATCAACATTGGCATTGGAAGAGACAACCACAGGCATCACTCCATCTGTCGGGAGTCCAAAAACACAAACATCCCCCTTAGCCGGTTCAGCGTCTCACTCAAGCTCTCCATCGCAGTCAGATGCCACCTATTTACCGATGGAAACGTTTGCATCACCAAAAGTAACATCAGATGAACCTGCTACAACCGCTCACAGTATTCTCCCGTCTCCAGAGACCTCAACTTCTTCAGCTCTCTCCACAATGGAGTTATCAACACTGATGGAAACTTCAACCAAAAGTCTCAATACTATATCACACACCACATCCACACGAGAATCCGGTCCCTCTCCGTATTTCACAGCAACGAACTCGTTGTCTCCCAAAACTGACGTGACAGCAGAAACTGTCTTCACCACTGTTTCATCCGTTGCCACGGAGGAATCTTCCACAAAGCCTGTTTCACATTCCACCTTCCAGGTGTCAATCGGAACAGCAAAAACACCACTTGGATCAGAAATAACAACAATCAAGTCAATAACTGATTTGTCTACTCACTCACAAACACGCTCTGACACTCCTCCAGGACCTTCAGAGCACACCATCACTCCGTCTGAGTCAAAAGTATCCAGCACGCAAATGGAAACCTCCTCCCCACAGCAATCGACAGTCTTTCAAGCAAGTACAGATGATCTCACGGCCATGGTTTCTGAGCAGACCGCAAGCTCTGCTTCTTCAATGTATTCCACAGAGGAGTCAACGTCCATATCTGAGCTTTCATCTGCAGCACTTTCCATTTCCACACAGTCATCTAACACTCAAGAACTTCGCTCATCATCCCATGCTTCTCCAATGTCATCAACATTTCTCACTCCTGAGATAACACCACATTCAACGTTCATCTCAACAAAATCAAGCATCAATGAAGAGACTCCATCAATGTTTGCTTCTCATTCCACCATTCAGATATCCAGTAGCACAGCAAAGTCATCTGTAGAAGCATCAACTAGCACAGTTACTCAGTCCACTCACAGCACGGACATAAGTTCTCATGCAACTCCTTCAACTGAGGTGAGCAGCTCATCTGAGTCACATGTACCCTCTCTCCCTGTGGAACCCTCATCTTCTGCCAAACCAACATCTCAAGGAACAAGTACGATTGCTGAAGGTGCGACTGTGACTCAGGAAAGCAGTAGCTCCGCTTCCTCCTCAAGATTTCAAACAATTCAGTCATCAACTCCCTCTGACACTTCACCACAGTTGTCTCCAACTTCTGGAATTGCATCTACACATCTATCAACTGGTGGCGCATCTGACAGCACAGCCACATACCCGTCTGCTGCCTTTACTAAACCAAGTGAAGAACCAACCCTCTCCACTTTGTCAACTCCAAATGAACCTTCCACTCGCTTGAATACACTTTCCAGTTCACAAGTGTCAAATCTCACAACAGAATCAACATTGGCATTGGAAGAGACAACCACAGGCATCACTCCATCTGTCGGGAGTCCAAAAACACAAACATCCCCCTTAGCCGGTTCAGCGTCTCACTCAAGCTCTCCATCGCAGTCAGATGCCACCTATTTACCGATGGAAACGTTTGCATCACCAAAAGTAACATCAGATGAACCTGCTACAACCGCTCACAGTATTCTCCCGTCTCCAGAGACCTCAACTTCTTCAGCTCTCTCCACAATGGAGTTATCAACACTGATGGAAACTTCAACCAAAAGTCTCAATACTATATCACACACCACATCCACACGAGAATCCGGTCCCTCTCCGTATTTCACAGCAACGAACTCGTTGTCTCCCAAAACTGACGTGACAGCAGAAACTGTCTTCACCACTGTTTCATCCGTTGCCACGGAGGAATCTTCCACAAAGCCTGTTTCACATTCCACCTTCCAGGTGTCAATCGGAACAGCAAAAACACCACTTGGATCAGAAATAACAACAATCAAGTCAATAACTGATTTGTCTACTCACTCACAAACACGCTCTGACACTCCTCCAGGACCTTCAGAGCACACCATCACTCCGTCTGAGTCAAAAGTATCCAGCACGCAAATGGAAACCTCCTCCCCACAGCAATCGACAGTCTTTCAAGCAAGTACAGATGATCTCACGGCCATGGTTTCTGAGCAGACCGCAAGCTCTGCTTCTTCAATGTATTCCACAGAGGAGTCAACGTCCATATCTGAGCTTTCATCTGCAGCACTTTCCATTTCCACACAGTCATCTAACACTCAAGAACTTCGCTCATCATCCCATGCTTCTCCAATGTCATCAACATTTCTCACTCCTGAGATAACACCACATTCAACGTTCATCTCAACAAAATCAAGCATCAATGAAGAGACTCCATCAATGTTTGCTTCTCATTCCACCATTCAGATATCCAGTAGCACAGCAAAGTCATCTGTAGAAGCATCAACTAGCACAGTTACTCAGTCCACTCACAGCACGGACATAAGTTCTCATGCAACTCCTTCAACTGAGGTGAGCAGCTCATCTGAGTCACATGTACCCTCTCTCCCTGTGGAACCCTCATCTTCTGCCAAACCAACATCTCAAGGAACAAGTACGATTGCTGAAGGTGCGACTGTGACTCAGGAAAGCAGTAGCTCCGCTTCCTCCTCAAGATTTCAAACAATTCAGTCATCAACTCCCTCTGACACTTCACCACAGTTGTCTCCAACTTCTGGAATTGCATCTACACATCTATCAACTGGTGGCACATCTGACAGCACAGCCACATACCCGTCTGCTGCCTTTACTAAACCAAGTGAAGAACCAACCCTCTCCACTTTGTCAACTCCAAATGAACCTTCCACTCGCTTGAATACACTTTCCAGTTCACAAGTGTCAAATCTCACAACAGAATCAACATTGGCATTGGAAGAGACAACCACAGGCATCACTCCATCTGTCGGGAGTCCAAAAACACAAACATCCCCCTTAGCCGGTTCAGCGTCTCACTCAAGCTCTCCATCGCAGTCAGATGCCACCTATTTACCGATGGAAACGTTTGCATCACCAAAAGTAACATCAGATGAACCTGCTACAACCGCTCACAGTATTCTCCCGTCTCCAGAGACCTCAACTTCTTCAGCTCTCTCCACAATGGAGTTATCAACACTGATGGAAACTTCAACCAAAAGTCTCAATACTATATCACACACCACATCCACACGAGAATCCGGTCCCTCTCCGTATTTCACAGCAACGAACTCGTTGTCTCCCAAAACTGACGTGACAGCAGAAACTGTCTTCACCACTGTTTCATCCGTTGCCACGGAGGAATCTTCCACAAAGCCTGTTTCACATTCCACCTTCCAGGTGTCAATCGGAACAGCAAAAACACCACTTGGATCAGAAATAACAACAATCAAGTCAATAACTGATTTGTCTACTCACTCACAAACACGCTCTGACACTCCTCCAGGACCTTCAGAGCACACCATCACTCCGTCTGAGTCAAAAGTATCCAGCACGCAAATGGAAACCTCCTCCCCACAGCAATCGACAGTCTTTCAAGCAAGTACAGATGATCTCACGGCCATGGTTTCTGAGCAGACCGCAAGCTCTGCTTCTTCAATGTATTCCACAGAGGAGTCAACGTCCATATCTGAGCTTTCATCTGCAGCACTTTCCATTTCCACACAGTCATCTAACACTCAAGAACTTCGCTCATCATCCCATGCTTCTCCAATGTCATCAACATTTCTCACTCCTGAGATAACACCACATTCAACGTTCATCTCAACAAAATCAAGCATCAATGAAGAGACTCCATCAATGTTTGCTTCTCATTCCACCATTCAGATATCCAGTAGCACAGCAAAGTCATCTGTAGAAGCATCAACAAGCACAGTTACTCAGTCCACTCACAGCACGGACATAAGTTCTCATGCAACTCCTTCAACTGAGGTGAGCAGCTCATCTGAGTCACATGTACCCTCTCTCCCTGTGGAACCCTCATCTTCTGCCAAACCAACATCTCAAGGAACAAGTACGATTGCTGAAGGTGCGACTGTGACTCAGGAAAGCAGTAGCTCCGCTTCCTCCTCAAGATTTCAAACAATTCAGTCATCAACTCCCTCTGACACTTCACCACAGTTGTCTCCAACTTCTGGAATTGCATCTACACATCTATCAACTGGTGGCACATCTGACAGCACAGCCACATACCCGTCTGCTGCCTTTACTAAACCAAGTGAAGAACCAACCCTCTCCACTTTGTCAACTCCAAATGAACCTTCCACTCGCTTGAATACACTTTCCAGTTCACAAGTGTCAAATCTCACAACAGAATCAACATTGGCATTGGAAGAGACAACCACAGGCATCACTCCATCTGTCGGGAGTCCAAAAACACAAACATCCCCCTTAGCCGGTTCAGCGTCTCACTCAAGCTCTCCATCGCAGTCAGATGCCACCTATTTACCGATGGAAACGTTTGCATCACCAAAAGTAACATCAGATGAACCTGCTACAACTGCTCACAGTATTCTCCCGTCTCCAGAGACCTCAACTTCTTCAGCTCTCTCCACAATGGAGTTATCAACACTGATGCAAACTTCAACCAAAAGTCTCAATACTATATCACACACCACATCCACACGAGAATCCGGTCCCTCTCCGTATTTCACAGCAACGAACTCGTTGTCTCCCAAAACTGACGTGACAGCAGAAACTGTCTTCACCACTGTTTCATCCGTTGCCACGGAGGAATCTATGTCACACACCACGTCCACACAAGAATCTAATCCCTCACCATCAGATGAAACAACTACATCTGCTCCCAGTGTTTACTCATCTCCAGAGACCTCAACTTCTTCATCTCTTCAAATTTCCACACGTGTTTCACACACTCCAAATACCAGCACCTCATCCTTCAGAAACAGTTCAGCTTCCACTGACATATCCTCTGTTCCAGAAACTGGGTCCTCAAGTTCTGAAATATCTACCACAATCGGTCCCCCGTCAGCATCATCTTCCTTGTTATCTGCCACATCAGCGGCTTCCTCAGTTTCTGGTTCCCAAACCTCTCCAGTGACAAACCCCAATACTGCTCTCAGCTCTCAAAGCAGCCACCGTGTTCCAACCACTGGGAAATTGACTGCTCCTTCCACCTCACTGACAACATCGAAAGCTCCAACTTCAACCTCTCCCTCGCCTGTCCAGACCACAACATCTTCCCTGATGTCCTCATATGCTACACTACAGGCCTCCTCCACCACAAAGACCACGGCTTCTGTCTTGTCCACAACAATGAAGGACTACTGCAGCAAGTGCACCTGTCTAAACGGAGAAATATGTGACTCCATTGCTACAACTGAAAACAACTGCGTGTGCATCTGTCCTCTTGATATGTATGGATCCCAATGTGAAAATGGAAGGAATGAATCTTGCACTGTATTCCGTAAGTTAGATTTGGTGTTGCAAACTTTCAAGAGGATCTCAATGGCTTACATCGTTGTACAGGACCAGTTTTAGGTGAAACATTCGGCATGTTTCCTTACTCCACATGCCTCTATTTACCCCTTTATTCTGTTTAGCAGTAAGTAGGAATCTGGTTGTTAGTCCGATTGGCTAATCACTTTTCTGGGAGTAATAACCCCTTAAAAAAATAATGATTTGATCACTCATTCCACAACTGTTTCTTGGACACTGCTGTGCGTAATTGGCTGCTGTGTTTCACCCACAAAATACACAGTCAATTAATTTTACAGTATATTCTGTGAAGTGCTTTGAGATGTCTCGAAGACGCAATAAGACACTGTATAAAATGCAAGGATCATTATTATATAAGGAATTGTTCCATCCCACTAGCTCTCAAACATTCCAAAATATTTCTTCCACACATTTATCTCATCATCACCTAATTACCTCAAATCCTTTTAATTTCCAAGAAATTTTCCTTCATGAAATTATTTGCTGGAAAGTCTTTGTTTATCACCTTCTTTTTCTGTGATCTATAGACTCTGATCCGCCAGAGAGAAATGTAACATTGGTCCTGAGGATACACAGTGAGTGGGATGATAACCTGAATCAGAATTCATCTCAATACATCTCCCTCACTCAACTGCTGGTTCAAATAGTGAGTGAGAAACCTCTGAACTCCTGGATTAGATTCCAGTCTGTAACTCATTGTTTTGTGTCCAGAATTGTGTTTAAAATTCCAACTCCAATTTAGGGTGAGTTGTTTGGCTTTAAACTTGACTGAATTTCTCTTTGTTACAGCTGACTCCATTCTACAGAGCAGTTGCTCCACAATACTTTGTGGCAGTGGTGATTACAAGTCTAAGGTATGTTTTCAACAGATGGCCCCTTCAAACCTTTCCGCTCAGCCCGCTCCAGCCTGCTCCATTTCCCCCAACCCACCCGACCCACCATTGGCGGGAGAGCCTTCAGCCCTTCTTCCATCAACCTCTGGAATTCCATCCTCCAATCATTCCGCCTCGCCCCCTCCTTAGCCTCCTTCAAGTCCCGCCTCAAGACCCTCCTCTTCGACCATGCCATCGGCCACCCCCCCTTCTCCTCCCCTCCCTTCTCCCCCCCTCGACCCCAGCTTGGGTCTGAAATGCTGTAAACTGTCCAGCGCCTTGGACCGTCCTCCTGATGTGAAAGGCGCTATAAAAATGTAATCTTGTTGATGTTGGGTACTCCTGACACATTTGTAACACTATGCTTTGGGCAAAGTGATCACTGACACACAGATCATTAACCAAAACTTTATTTTTTTGGGTCAGCCGGGTGTCTGAAACATGCGGAAACCCATCACTATGTTTAAGAGTATCCAAACCAAACTGAGACTTCGATGCATCCCACCTACACATGGAAAGCCCAGAAATAGATTGTTGGAATGGAATGCACACTCTCTCCCTGGAGGGACGCATACTGCTTACCTAATTCCGGAAAGTATTTAGAGCAAGCCTTGGCAAGAGACAGGGCTTGGGGACATCAGATTTTGCTTTGGGGTAACTGCTGGAGTCTAACCAGCTAAAACCGCATAGTGTGCGATTGATATTGCTGTCTGGCAAGTTTTCCTCTGCTTGTCCAGCTAGGACCACCCTACCCTTTAGACCAAAACAACAAGAAAAGTGTTTACACACAGAGCTAGGAACTCATTATAAGGTTATGAAACCTCGAACCATGATTCCATGAAACCACTGCTGATTTACGACCTATGTTTAATATTTACGCCCTCCATTTTTCCTGATCCCAGTCCCACGCTCGGGTCCAAATCTCTAACTGCCCACCGCCTTGGGATGTCCTCTCAACGTGAAAAGCATTGTGTAAATGTAATTTGTTGTTGTTGAGTTGGAGACGGATACAGCACAGGGCATTTGCTAACTATTACCAAGCAATGGATGGTGAGAGGACTGAGCGGATCCCCTCACCTTTTAACCCAAATTCTGATTGTATTTTTTGCCAGGAGAGGAAGCATTCTTGCAGAGGCTACAGGTGTCTATCAGTATGCCAACAACCAAACACAGATTGACTATTTAAACCAGAAACTGCCTGTGGCATTGATGAATTTCATTAACACAACGGAGATTCTCAGTAACCTGTCTCGCAATGTTAGCAGCACGGTGACCCTGGATGACATTTCTATTCCATCTCCAATAATCAACAGTAAGTGCCTGACTCCTTGCTGAGGTCCCCAGTGTAATACCCAGGTGTTAGCCTAGGCAGTACTACTGCGAATGGTGGCCATAGCAGCTAATACAAGACCATTAGTTGGTTTAGATACCTTCCGCTCCTCTTTACCTTCCTTTTGCTGAAATCAGATTAGAAATGAAAATGAAATACCAAGTGCAATTCCTCCCTCCCCCCCACCACCCCTCATCTGGGATTGTGCGATATAAATTGTTATCAGTCTCTGTAAAGAGAAAGCTACCCTCACCTCGGTCCAAATCCGTTCATCCCCAACGAGAACATCAGTAGTAAGAAGCTGGAATGAGATAATAATAATAATCCTTGTATTTGATATGGCACCTTATCACATCATTGAGACGTCTCAAAGCCCTTCACCGAATATATTGTTAAGTGGAGTGACTGTGTATTTTATGGGCAAAACGCCCACAATATTGGTTTACTGACTCTCAGGACAACATTAACGCTTTGGTTTTAACGTGGCCTTTTCAGGAACTGCCCAGTTGAACCTGTCCTGTGTTGTTCCATTTCGTAACTACACAATCAATTGCAGTGATCGGGAAAGCTGCATCTGCGAGGGAACCTGTAAAAGGATCCCAGGTTTCTGCTCTTGGAACGGAGAATGCTTCAATCAAGTCAACGGCTCCATCTGCAGGTCAGTGTGTGAAATTAAATCACTGATCGTATGCACGTGCATAGGATCACAGAATCTTACAGCACAGAAGGAGGCAATTCGGCCCATCGTGCCTGTGCCAGATGTCGCAACAGATTTTCTAGTGTCAGCTAAATATATCTGTCAAGTGCAAAGAACAACAACAGCAAGATTACATTTGTATAGCGCCTTTCACGTCGGGAGGATGTCTCAAGGCGCTGGACAGAGTACAGCATTTCAGACCCGAGCTGGGGTCGGGGGGAGGGGGAGGGAGGGCAGGGGAAAGGGGGTGGCCAATGGCATGGTCGAAGAAGAGGGTCTTGAGGCAAAAAGTGAAAAGGGACATGATGACCGGGAGAGGCTGCCTGGTGAAGTCATCGGGAACTGTAAGCACAATCACCGTACGACCTCTCTCCATTGCACACTAACACCTCACGGCTGTGTGTTCAATATCGCTGGTGCTAATGAATGTTCCATTTGCCTAAAAAAAAGGCACTACGCTTAATAGTACTTATCTGTGAAGTACTTTCTAATAATAATCCTTGTATTCGAATATAGCGTCATCATGTGGTTGGCATGTCTCCAACCACTTTACAGGATTTTACTATAAATGTAGTGACTGTAATTCCTTCTTTCTCTCTCGCGCGCGCTCTCCTCTGATGCATATCCCAGACTAGTTATTGATCCTGGGATGTGACTTGTGTCACTAACTTGACCATTGCCTGTTTTTGTTGTAGCTGTTACCACAAACCCTTCCACAAGTTCACAGGCACACACTGTGAGACCCCGGTCAAGACCATTGGATTATACACGGTCTTGGGGGCGGTGCTGGCTGCCTGCCTGCTCCTTGTCATCATCATCATCATCATCATTATTGTTTACCGCAGACAAAGAACAAGGTAATGTGAAACTAGGGGAGAGGCAAAACACAGAGACAGAGAAAGAATGAAAACAAAGAATTTCACATCGGTATGGCGTCCCTAAGCGTTGGACAGTTAGGGATTTGGACTCGAGTTGCGGATTGGGATCAGGTGGGGTGGAGGGCAGGGAGGGTAGGGGTAGGAGGGTGGCTGAAGGCATGGTTGAAGAGGAGGGTCTCGAGACGTGCCTTGAAGTAGGCAAGGGAGGGAGCGAGGCCAAAGGATTTTGGAATGGAGTATCAAAGGGTGCAGGCAGATAGGCTGAAGACCCAATCACCAATAGTGGAGCAGGTCAGGCAGGGGACATAGAGCAGGCCGGAGCCAGCACATACCAACACACAACACACACATGAATTGGCCTGAATTATGTGATATCCTTAGACACTGGGGGAGCATCACATGGGAGGTGGGGGGAATTGTAGAAGGAACAGGCTCCTGGGCTGATTTGGGGGTTTGGCCAAGGGAAGGGTATCAGTTCTCTCGTTTCCAGTTGTGCTGAATCTAACACAGCTTCTCATCCATCCTTCCAGGTACCCAGAAAAAGGCGATCCATTGAGATGGTTCTCTATAGAGGAAGAATATTTCAGCTTTCCACAAACAGGTACCTACCTGCTCACTCCTATCTCAACTACACTCATCCTCCTTTGAGGTTTGTCTGCGTGTGTGTGTATGTATATGTATGAGTGGGCATTTATGTTGGTTAATGTGTGTAACTGATGTAGAACGGGTTTGCACAGGAATAAACTACTGTTGCCGTAGTGACTAACTGTTTGAAGGTGGGATTGCTGCCAACTTCACCACCTGTACCCGTCACTGGGCAACCTCAGCCTCTCCTCACTCACACTGACAGGCACACTGTGTCCCTCTCAGATCTGAACAAGGTCATCTCAACACCCAGCATCTCCCCTCTGGGGCGCACGGGTAAATACAACCTGGACACGAAGCTGAATGTGGAAAAGGACTTCACTCCAGGCATATGGAGACCCAACCTGGAGAAGGTAGACACCTCAGTGCAGGTAAACAGCCGAACACGTCCTGAACGCAAACACTGCACTCACCTCTACAGCTAACCTTCAAAAGGGAATTGGCTAGATGCTTGAAAAGAAAAAAAATTGCAAGGCTATGGGGAAGGAGTGAAACTAAATGGGTAGCTTTTTCAAAGATTCGATGGGCCGAATGGCCTCCTTCTGTGCTGGAGGATTCTATGATTCTAACTATCCAAATTCTGCCTCAACCATGGCAGGGATGGGTTTACACATTAACATCACTCACTGCCGCTGTAACACTAGCAACTGCGATTTTCTCTCCCGCCAGATACGAGCAAAGCGACCGGAGCTGGTCCTTCCTCTGAGCGACAAAGCGCGAGAGTAAAGGGAACGGGTCGCACAGCAGCACCCCCTCGCTGGCAGTTCGGATCAATTCCTGCTCTGTGTTACCGCAGATCTTTGACACCAATATACAGACATTCAAAAAAGGAAGCAAGAAAAAAAATGAAATCCTCTTCGGTTTCTTGCACCACGTTGCACAGTGACACAGTAAACTTCGGGGCAGAAACCACACCTTTGGAGAGGCAGCCGAGAAAAGCCTGTTGCCACTTTATATACGGTTATATATTGAGGACGATTTCCACGTTAACGCCAAGAGAACTTTGCACCTTATATTTGGTTGAAAACCTAGTTTGCCAAACAATTGTAAAGCAAATCATTTCCTGCTCAGTCCTTGCTCTGCCCTTGGGGGCAGATGGATCCACAGCAGAACTTTGCAGTTTGTGTGTGAGTTTAGGGAAGATCTTAGAATGATAATAATAATAATAATAATAATTCTTGCATTTGGTATAGTGCCTTGTCACATCGTTGTGACGTCTCAAAGCATTTTTAGCCACCAACCAAGGAAACGCTGGAACACTCTTCCTCTCCCATTCCTTTCCCATCTTCAGTTGGCGCCTGAACACCTCCCTATTTGACGGTGCCTATGGCCACCCCCCCCTCCCCCCAGCTTGGCATCATGCTCCACCACTGTCAAGAACTCTGGGATGTTACCCTGCGTGAGGGGTGCTATATAACTGCAAGTTGTTGTTGTCTCAAAGCGCTTCACAGAATATACAGCAAAATGTAGTGACTGTGTATTTTGTGAGCTTCTCCACATTCACTCTTCAAGTTTCCTTATTCCACATGCCTGATAATAATCCCTCAAGAAAAAAAATAATTTGGTCACTCAATCCACGGCTGTTTGTGGGACACTGCTGTGCGCAATTGGCTGCCGCGTTTCACCCACAAATATACAGTCAATTGACTTTACAGTATATCGCTTGAAGCGCTTTGAGAAGTCTAGAAGACGTGAAAAGCTCTATATCAAATGCAAGGATTATTCTCATCAAAGTCCAGTCCAGGAATGTTCAATAAATTGCAACTAGGAAGATAGCTTTTAATTTCATGGTAATATCTTTACACTGTACTCAAACAACCTTTGATCAAATTTCACAATATGTTTAAAGATACAAATTTGAATCATGTTCTGTAGAAATTACTTAGATGCACTGAAAACAAATAATTTATATATTTAATGTGTGCCGAGTGGGTTATAGTTAGATTTAAAGCTGAAACTATCGTAATTGCGTTTATACTTGATAAATACCATGCACTAAACTGCACCGTTTACACATAAATAAAATATATATTAGATAATACACCGTTTGTTTCTTCACGAATTGCCCAGTGCCTTGGGACGTCCTCCAGACGTGTAAAGCGCTGTATAAATGTAATTTGTTGTTGTTGCATTTACACGTGTGAATAGTGTGTCCACTTGCTCTGCTATTGGACACTGACAAAGGTACAGCACAGGCAGCGCTCCCAGGCGCTGTTTGGTGTGTGAGGCACTATATAAATACAAGTAATTGTAAGGACTTAAGTCCCACCCATCCCAGGATGAGTGAGGCTGAGAGTCAATACTGCAGCAAATGATGGCATTTTCAGGAGGGGTCATGGGACATGGGGACATGGGACAGCCCCCCATCTCCTGTAGGGAGAGGGCTCCCCGATGCGCTCACACTGACCTCGGCTAGTCACTGCTTTCACAGCTCTGTCTCGCTGTTGCAGTCTCAATTACATGCACAACTCACCAGCACAACGCATTGCCGATTGGCTGGCCTCTCGCCACCCAGCGACTGTTGCTAACAACTCCTTTGCTGAAACTTAACACAAAGCTATCGTGGCTGGAAACACTGCACATTGAAAACGGACTGGGAATTTTCCAGCTGGGAAAACCGACAAAGACAGGTAATTGAAGGTCATTTGCGGAGAAAAACAGGCTGGAGGCGAGTTTTACAACTGATATGATCTTAGTTCATTTGTAACAAGACTGACTGGCTGTTGGTGGTGGTGGTCACCATTGATGACTTTGTTTAGTGGCTGCTAACACCACGGGGACCGATCCAGGTTACAACGAAGACAATGTTAAAATGATTGCCATGGGTCTTCAGTGCCGATCCGGACTGTCAGTGGCAATGGGAGCTCCAGGTTTGGGACCAGATCAGGTTTTCCACATTCCAAAAAGATAATTTTTTATTTGTGTTTGCCCTGGCCGACAATCCTCCAAGTAACCTCCAGACAATGCTGGGGGCATATTGGCTTCCCTGCTTTTGCCTGCAAACACAGTTGATTTGATATATACAGTCGAAACGTCTCAAAGCACTTCACAGTGTTGTGTGACTTGTGTAGTGACTGTGTCATTGTTGCTGAATGTAATGCCCTATAAAAGGGTCCTTTAAGGCATTCGGATATCATAGGCGCCTCATCAAATGCAAAACAAAATGTAATGTCACATAAGTTTATTAAATTGCATTAATTCTGGAAAAGAAAAAATGCAGCATAAATTCTAATGTGATACTGTGCCTGGCGGCCTGCCCAAGTCTGAGTTGACTGGCTTTATTTTACAGAAACTGGAGGGATCAACATGCCTCGCGGGAGATCAGCCTCGAGCACACGATCCAACAGCAGTGATGTGGAGCTGGAGGGACTGGGTATAAACTACTCTGTGCTTGTGGATGGGTGGGGGTAGGAGATAGAATGAATTTGGGGATGGAAGATGCAGGCAGAAATGGGGTACTGATGAGAGGGTTGGGTGAGATGGGTTTGGGAATACTAATCTGGATTTAAATCCCTGTTAAACGAACACATTAACCTAAAACATGTATGTTCTACATGGTTGTGGAGAGTCAGCCGTTCCCCGCCCTCACAGGTGTCATTTGTCTCTCCACAGCTCAAAGTGAGCTGGAAAAGCTGCGTCACCAGTTCCGGATCATGGAGGGCGACCATCAGGCATACAGTGTAGAGTCCCAGGAGCTGATCAGGAAGCAGCTGTATGTATCCAGACTATGTTAAGTGGGAGCTTTACACTGTCTCTAATCCTGACCTGGGAGTGTGGACGGACAGTGTAGAGGGTCTCTACTGTGTCTCTAACCTGTGCTATCCCTGACCTGGGAGTGCTGGGTGGACTTGCTCTAAGTCTAACCTGTGCTGTATCTAACTTGGGTTTGTCAGGGCAGAAATTGAGAAACTGGAGAAAGATGATGAGGAGCTGACAGTGAATCTAAAGCTCTGTGTGAGCCAAACGAGGCAGAAGCAACACCAGGAGTACGTGAAAAAGATTCGGAGCAAGCTGGAATCCCAGGATAAGCTGAAGGAGCAGATAGACAGCGAGAGGCAGACCATTGTAGAGTTGGACCTGGAGGTAGCAATCCACTACAATACAAAATTACACTTGTAAAAATCTTTTCATGTCGGGAGGACCTCCCAAGTTGCTGGACCATCAGGGATTTGGACCCAACGGTGGGGGGGGGGTTGGGATCAAGGAGAGTGGAGGACAGGGAGGGTGGCCGAAGGCACGGTCGAAGAGCAGGGTCTTGAGATGTGCCTTGAAGGAGACAAGGGAGGGCAATTGCATGACCTCTAGACAGCTCATTCGTGCTGTTTGCACTCTCTCTCTTTCTCACACACTCCACATCAGCGCAGCCGCTGAGCTTTACAGCAGAAATTATTCACCCAAAAAATAAACAAAACTAATTTAAACCCCTTTTTTCTACAGATAAAAAAGTTGGAACAAAAACTTCTTGAACAGAAAATAGCATTGAGCAAATGTACGGAGAGTAAAGAGATTAACGCCCAAACGCAGAAAGATGTCAAGGTGATGGAGAACACACTGGACAGGGTGAGGATCAGCGAGAGCAGACCTTGGGTCTTGCTCTGACGCCCCTTTCACACACATGTTGTGCCAATGTTAAAGAAAGGATTCTAGTTTAATCGCACTCGACCAATTACTTTCATTTTAGTTTCAGAAGCAGCGATATTCCAGTTTAAAAAAAATCATAAAAAGTAAAGTGATGCATTTGAGTAGCAAATGCAAGTAGGGGAGAAAGCACCAGCAGATAGGATGGGGAGAAAGCAGGGAATGGGTTGAGAGAGCTCCAGTGGGGAAGCGAGCACCAGCAGGTGTGGGAATTCCCGTATATGACATTGAGCCACTGGTCCTTGCTGTTCACAGACTCTGACCAGGTTTAACACACAGCTGACCCAGAACGCCCTTCTTCGGGAGGAGATCCGGACAATGAGCATGGAGCGCTCACGCTTTCAGCATCTCTACCACAAACTAGAGAAGGTAAGTGCCGTTCCCATTCGCTCCTCCTCTGCCCTCTGAGAGAGAGTTTCTCTCAATATCTCTCTCCCAGGACCAATCGCTGCCAGGCATCAACCTCAGGCTGGGAGAAGGGATTGGGGAGGGAGGTAACCTTCCCCAGTATTCACATTCCCTTCCTCTTTAATAAGGAACTGCAAGAAACTCGGAAGGAAGTTGGTGCTGTGATTGACATGTCCACGGCAGCGTATGATGCCAGGTGAGCTGGTGGTGGGGTAGGAGTAGGGTTTGGGGATAGGGTGGGGGAGATGAGATGGGGAGGTGGGGTGGGTGTTGGGGTAAGGGTTTAGGGGAGCTGGACTGAGCTACGTCTCTGGCCCACTGAGCAGGGATGACGCGCAGACCAAGATGGTGCAGCTGAAGGAGAAGGCGGAGAAGGATCTTGTTCTACATGCAGCCGAGATGAAAGAGCTGCAGAGAGTCATTGACCACGACCGCAAGCTGAAGGAGTTCATGGCCATCAAAACCCAGGAGCGACCCTCGGAGGAGATACGCCCATACAGCACCCGCAAAAGGGGCAAGTACTCACCTCACTCTCTCCCCTGCCCCACACACGAGAAACACCCAGTCACATACCCAGCCACACACTCACACCCAGCCCCAGCCACACACTCACACCCAGCCCCAGCCACACACTCACACCCAGCCACACACTCACACCCAGCCACACACTCACACCCAGCCCCAGCCACACACTCACACCCAGCCCCAGCCACACACTCACACCCAGCCCCAGCCACACACTCACACCCAGCCACACACTCACACCCAGCCCCAGCCACACACTCACACCCAGCCCCAGCCACACACTCACACCCAGCCCCAGCCACACACTCACACCCAGCCCCAGCCACACACTCACACCCAGCCCCAGCCACACACTCACACCCAGCCCCAGCCACACACTCACACCCAGCCCCAGCCACACACTCACACCCAGCCCCAGCCACACACTCACACCCAGCCCCAGCCACACACTCACACCCAGCCCCAGCCACACACTCACACCCAGCCCCAGCCACACACTCACACCCAGCCCCAGCCACACACTCACACCCAGCCCCAGCCACACACTCACACCCAGCCCCAGCCACACACTCACACCCAGCCCCAGCCACACACTCACACCCAGCCCCAGCCCCAGCCCAAGACTCACAGCCAACTCCAGCCCCAGATCCACACCCAGCCCCAGCCCCACACTCATAGCCAGCCCCAGTCCCTCAAGTCTGTTCCACCATTGTGTTAGATCATGTCTGATCTGTATCTCAGCTCCATTTATCCATCTTTAAACCATATCCCTTGATACCCTGACCTAACAAATATCTATCCACCTCAGTCTTGAAACTCAACCCCAGCAACACACTCACATGCAGACTCTGCGCAGTTTTTAGTAGAGAAATGGAGAGCTACTTGGGGAAGCAGGAGGAAGAGGAAAAGGGGGGATTCCACCATGAATTGGTAAACTGTCTGCACAGCCTCACGGCTGAATGGCCTCCTCCTGTTCCTCAGGATGTGAGCATCATGTGAATTGTCTGCGCTCACTATCAGAGCACAGCCAAGGCATTTCCTGAGGAGTCCTGTAGCTCAGTTGAGGAGTCCTGTAGCTCAGTGGTTAGAACACTTGCCTCGCAAGAGACCTGGGTTCGATTCCCAGCAGAGCGACACTTTGGGCAAGTTTCCTTACTTTCTTTCCTTACTTTCCTTACTCCACATGCTTCATAATAATCCCTCAAGAAAAATATTTTTTTTGATAATTTTTTGATAATTTTTTTTTGATAATTTTTTTTCGTTCCATGACTGTTTGTGGAACGCTGCTGTGTGCAATTGGCTGCCAAGATTCTCCCACAAATATACAGTGAATTCACTTTACAGTATATTCTCTGAAGCGCTTTGAGACATCTAGAAGATGTGAAAAGCACGATACCAAATGCAAGTATTACTATTATATAACAGCAGCTGTTAAACCTCCTCCATCCCAGGCTCTTTGCTCCTCTGACTCTGCTCTAACTGGAAGAGTACTCCCTTCATCCAAAGCCTTTTTTGGCTGCCTTCAAATCCTCTGAAAACCTCTCTCCTTTCCCCCTCACACACCACCTTCCCCTTCATTGCTGTGATTTCCGCTGCCATTGTGATCACACTGTTACGCTTATCCCTGCCCCCAGGCTCAGCAATGGATCGTGAGTGTAGACGGACATTTACTCTTACCCGCACTATCTCATCCGAATGCACAGTAATCTGGGATCTCATCCACAGAGGACGAGGGATCGGCAAAAAGACAAAAGGAGACAAAGGAGGAACGAGCGGAGACCTTTGAGGCCGCCTTCCAGCAGATCCGAGCTGCGACGGGGGAGGAGGACCTGGAGGTGCTGGTCAACACCTTTATAGAAGGTCAGAATGTCTTCCATGGGAATAACTATCCAGAGAGGCAATACCTGTGTCAGGTAACATTCGGGATGTGTGGGAATCAACGTGGATGATTTTCACAAATCAAACAGTGACAAAATATTTGAGAGACCCCTCTACACCATCCACCCACAATTCTGGGATACAGACAGCTCAGGTTAGAGACAGAGTAAAGTTCCTCTTCACTGTCCATCCACACTCCCAGATCAGGGCTAGAGACAGAATGAAGTTCCCTCTTCACTGTCCATCCAAACTCCCAGGTCAGGATTAGAGAAAGCTCTCTCTACCCTGTCTGTCCACACTCCCCAGTCAATGACAGCATGGGTTAGAGACCGAGTAAAGCTCCCTCTACAATTAACCCATGTTCCTGTCTGTCGGTGTCAGTGACAACATCAGGCAGTCCGTCTTACACAAGAACAAAGTTACAAATGTTGGGAGTAAATGTTGAAGCCGGTCTGTCATGTGCTGATTCTCTCGCTCTGTCTCTCCCTCAGTTGAGGATCGGAACTTTGCCCTGTTCAGTTACATCAATGAGCAGAACACGGAGATTGAGAGAGTGCAGGAGGAGATTGCTGCTGTGAGTATGGAGAGTTTACTCGGGAGTTCTACCACTCTAACACCAAGGAGTTTGAACAGGCACTGACGTGCTGTGTGTCTCTGGCAGCTCCAAGCTGAGATTGCGGGCTTCAGGCAGCGTGAGCAGGAGCTGCAGTGGGAACAGCAGAGAGTGCGTCAGCAGATGGAGAGGCAGCAGCAGGAGGCCAGCAATCAGGCTGCGGGCTATGAGGAGAGAGTCAAGGCCGTCAACAAAATCCTGGAGCAGCTCAAGACCGGTAAATGAGTGCTCGGGCACAGGGAGCGCGTGCTGACAACTGAGCCAAACCTCCCTCTCCCCGTTTTCTCTTCCCAACTTGCCTCTACACTCGCGGTCCTCACTACCTCCGTGCAACCACGAGTCTGCAGTCAATACAACTTCTCTCCCCATGAAAAACTCTCTCTGTAACTGTACCTTTGATCTACAATCTTTAACCAACCCTCTCCTTCTGCTCTCAATGACTAAAGTTGTGAAGCTCTTCATAGCATTCATCCTCTGACCAGGGCACTCTATAGAGTACAAGTTGCTGCTTTTCAGATCCAGAATATGCTTCCATGTGCAACTGTAGCTCTGAATTCATGGTCTCCAGTCTCTCCCTGTTATAAACCTATTGGCTGCATGTAGAAGTTCATAGGAACATAGAGGAACAGGAGTAGGCCTTTCAGCCCCTCGAGCGTGTTCCGCCATTCTATAAGATCATGGCCGATCTGTACTTCAACTCCAATTATTCGCCCTTGCCCCATATCTCTTGATAATATAAATAATAATCCTTGCATTTGATATAGCACTTTATCACATCTTCTCAACGTCTCAAAGCGCTTCACAGAAAATACTGTGAAGCGAATTGGCAGTATATTTTGTGAGCAAACGCGGCAGCCAATTGCGCACAGCAGCGTCCCACAAACAATGGATTGATCCTCTGACCTAACAAATATCTATCCACCTCAGTCTTGAAAATGTGAATGGATCCAGCATCCACAGCCTTGGGGCACTGCCCTCTGGGTGAAAAAACTGCCTCCTGATTTCACTCCTAAATGTTTTGCGTTTTGCTCCACACACAGGGACGGAGTCGCTCTTCACTAAAATCGGCTGCAATCGCTCCATCCTGGACGATATGCTGGGATCGTCTTGTGGGATAACGGACACCACCATCATGCAGTACCTGGGCCTGATCGAGCAGCGCACCAATCAGCTGCTCTCCATCCAGTCCTACCTCACTTCCAAGGTAACCCGCCATTGTCATGCACCTCTGCATACAGCTGCCTCCAGAGTAATGTCAGCTCTTCTAGTTTCTGTCCTGTGACATGTTACACTGGGGAGTGTTGCTCAGCACGTGGGAAAGTGCAGGCCTGGGGGTGCAGTGAGATTGCAGTCCCCTGGCGTTGGGCGTTATGCCTGGCTCCAGCCTCCGCTCTAATCCAGGTTTGCAGTTGACGAGCGGGTGATTGCTTGGCCTCTGTAACCTCTGACTCTGGTTCTCAGGATTATGACCGACCGTACGACCCCCGGGAAGCAGCCGTGCTGCTGTTAGGGCAGAAGTTGGAGGGTGCGATGCAACCGCTCTACATTGAGCCTCCAACCACCGGGTTCGTACCTGATTTTATTTGTGGTGAGGGGGGTTGGGGGAGAGCAGAAAGCATATCCGGGTGGAGGTGGGGGTTATCCCAAGGGTGAGGCGGCAAGACAAGTGCAAATCTTTCTGTCTTTCCTCAGTCTTTCCCTCCATTTCCCCATTACCCTTCACGCCACTTCCCAGAGTTTCTAAGACAATAAGTGAGAACCCCGGCTGCCTATCGTGTCACCAGCTGTCTCGTGGCATCCCTTGCTGCAGGAAGGACCTGGGACCGGAAGCACGAGACCCAAACCATGTATTACTGCTACGCTCAATTCACATGGAGCCAAGGCATCTAGTTTAGGTGGGAGCGGTGGTGGTGGGGCGCGGGGGTGGGGGAGGGTGGGAAACGAATTCCAGAAAACATTGAACAACAATAACAAATTACATTTGTATAGTGCCTTTCCCGGCAGAAGGACGACCCAAGGAGCTGGTCAGTCAGAGATCTGAATCTTCACTTTATTTTTTTTAAAAAGTAACTTGTAAAATAAAATTCTTCCAGCAATAATGATGATGACAGTGAGTTGGAATCTCCGGGCACCGAGGAAGAAAGACCCCTGACACAGGCAGAACTGCGGGAGCGAATAATGAAAGGGGTAAGTTTTGTGGCCTTTGTGGAGCGGGATTCTAACTGGAATTTGGAAACTGGCTTTACGCAGTTTTTTGCTATATAAAGACCTGGCTTACCAAGTAAGGCTAAATTGAAAGATTTCCCCCAAATTCTGCTCCATCTTACTCCTAGTTTACCTCTAAATGGTCTTCAGGCTGAGAACGGGTGAAGTTTGGTCTTGTGATCTGGAAATCAATGAGCAGGTTGCAGTTCTCCTGTTTGAACACCTAGTGTTGCTGTAACCAATTTTGTTTGGTCAGCCGAGTGTCTGAATGGAACGCACGCTCTCTCCCTGGCGGGACAAATCCTGCTTACCTAATTTTGGAAAGTATTAGGTAAAGGTTGCCAAGAGCCAAGGCTTGTGTTGGGGTTACTGCTGGAATCTAATCAGCTAAAACTGCATAGCTTGCCATTGATATTTGCTGTCTGACAAGCTTATCCAGCTCGGGCCACCTTGCTCGTTCAGGCTTTGGCTTGCAGTGTTAACAGGAGCTGAGTGGGATGATTCCCTGTAACCACAGACTCCCATGAAAAGACTGACGCAGTGCAGGCCTGATACACGGGGCAATGTCTCATAGCACTTCACAGACCCTAAGCTGAACCTGAGCAAAGTGGGAAACAAGGTGACAGGAGGGAATAGAAGAGTGTTCTTGCCCTGCGACACCAGCGTTTAAACAAGTAGCAGCAAAGAATAAAAGATACAAAAGGCATTGAGTTTTAAAGTCCAGTGAAAGCAACATTTATTGTGAGAGCACTCATTAGCTCTCTCCTTGCTCTTCATGCAGGATTTTCACCACAGCCTGAAGGATGACAGGGGTAAAACATTCTCAGGATGTGGGGAAATGAAAAGGTGGCGGAAGCTGATTTGATAACAACTTTTAAGAGAGAAGTAGATAATTATTTGGGGAGGACAAGTTTGCAGGGCTATGGGGAGAGAGCATGGGAGTGGGATTGAATTAGGTAGCTCTTTTCAAAGAGCCGGTAGAGACACGATGGGCCGAATCGCCTCCTTCTGTGCTGTATAATTCCATGATTCTATGAAGATGTATCTGGGTTTTACTCAGACATAATAACCATTAACTATAATATAATAATCCTTGCATTTGATATAGCGCCTAATCAGGTCATCGAGACACCATCGAGCCTGACAACTATGATCAGAGCCCCGCTTATGGCGACACGAAGTGAGGGGGCCACAGAACGCCCTGGAACTGAGCCAGCAGAAGGAGGGGTGGGGGCAGGCAGGTGCACAAAAGTTAATGTCCTGTAATTCTCACAACTCTTCACTGTCTCAGGTGATCAGAAAAGAGGAGAAGGCGCTGAAGAAAGGTTTTCAGTCCTACCGCCCACAACTGAAGCACTGAGCGGCCTCGATCGTCGGGCGGGGATGGGGACCGTCGCTGGCTAATTTCTGGGTTTCACGCTCCACACACTGGGACCAGATCACATCTGTGCCCCTGGGGCAGCCTCCTGTCCACAGTAATGACACGTCCCTCTCCGCGATCGCTCAGCATCAAACACGAGCAAGTGATTTGCCAGGGTCTCCTCGGGGCCTGTCTGGATGGATCATTTCTCTGTGAAGCAGAGGGAGAAGGAAGGTCATATGGTGACTAGCTCCTTACAGCATACACACCCCCGCAGTCACCCAAAGTGGTTCCCCAATGCCTGACACTCGCTCCCCCCTGCACTGTGATCATTGTCACTTCAGTGCTTGCAATTTCAGAATAAAATCTTAAAGAATTTGCAATGAAACATTGTGTTGATTTATGACATTACTCCATGAAAACATTACATTCCATGTTTACATTCACCATATGTTACACAGAGCGTATGTACCGCCACAGCTGTGATGAACTAATCCATCAGGTAGTAGTCAGCCCCGCCGGGATCCCGGAGTCGTGTGTTTTGCAAAGCAGAATGATCCAGAGTGTGCTGTGTCTGTGTCAGGAAGTCAAACACCGTCACCTCATCCTAACCTTCACAGGACAGCTCCCTGGAACAACAACAACTTACATTACAAGAGAAAGAGAGAGCGTCTCATAGTATTTCACACAACCGACCGAAAGCCCGTTACATGTGGGTGGGGATGGGAGTGTGAGGAAATGGCTTGCAGAGCTTCAGTACCCCTCCTCTCAACCTGTGCATGGGAGGAACACACCAGTAAATTTCACCCTCCCAGGTTGTATCGATGACGTTGAGCACTCAAGAGCAAGTCACGACAGAACAAGCAGCGTCTTTGCTTCCCTCGTCATCGCAGTCCCTGCAATATAATGATCCGTGCAGTGTCTGTAATGCTAGGATGTCTCAGATTCTGGGCACTAAAGCTTCAGGGGAGCTGAAGACCCACTGAGGAGGAACGGGAAATGATTTCAAACTGTGCCACTAGATGGTGCCAGTTATGCTGTTAGCACCACCTGGTGGCAGGAGAGTACTACTGTGCGGACAGGCAAGTCTGCGCTGAGTTAATGATATATAATAATCCTTGCATTTGATACAGTGCCTTCTCACGTCTTCGAGACGTTTCAAAGCGCTTCACAGAATATACTGTAAAGTGAATTGACTGTATATTTTGTGGGTGAAACTCGGCAGCCAATTGCGCATAGCAATGTCCCACAAACAGTCATGGATTGAGTGACCAAATTATTATTATTTTTTTGAAGGAGTTATTACCCCCTGAAAAGCGATCCGCCAATCGACTAACAACCCGGTTCCTACTTACTTCTAGGTAAACAGAAGAGTGTGAAGTAAGGAAACTTGCCTAAGGTTTCGCCCTGCCCAGGAATTGAACCCAGGTCCTCTCACTTGCGAGGCAAATGCTCTAACCTCCGAGCTAGAGAACTGCACTTGGGCTGGGGAAGAGGACCAACAGCAGCCTGGTGCCCCTCTCACGGATCCCCGTTGGAACATGGGTGGATTTGGACGTCAGGTCAAACCTGTGAAGCCCCTGAGGTTCGAATCGCCTGAGGTCACCCACTGTCTGGGCTCACACAGAAATGACAGCAAGGCAGGGAGGAGAGGGAGTACGAGGTAAGAGAGGCAATGTGACACTCGCTCTGGCTGATCATCACTGAGCTCCAGCAGCTCTTTTCACTCTTCCTGGGTAATGCCATGGCAACAGAGTGGTTTTTAATCTGAATGTAATCTTATTCCAAGTTTTTTCTCCAGTTGCCATGGAGATAGTATTGACCTATTCCCTCGCCCCCACTTCCCCTATGCTTCCATTCCCCACCCCAATTCCAGGAAATCACTCTGACATGCGTTGATTACATAAAACAGTCAAATCTTTTCAAATCCTTTTCAGTGTACATCACTTTCACTCTGTGTGTGCATCTGTCTCTCTCACTCCGTGTGTGTGTCTGTGTGTGTCTCTGTCTCTCGCACTGTGTGTATGTGTGTCTGTCCTATGCAGTGTGCGTGTCTGTCTCTTGCTCTGTGTGTGTGTGTCTCTCTTGTTCTGTGTGTGTCTGTCTGTCTCTCTCACTCTTTGTGTGCGTTTCACTCCGTGTGTGTTTATATGTTTATCTTGTCTGTCTCCCTGCCTGGATGCATCACTCTCTCGCTCTCTGTCCCTCATACTCCCTCTGCGTCCTACTGTGTGTACGTCTCTCTGTCTCTCAAACAGTGAGCAATAAAGTGCTGGCTGGCAGTGAAGTCTGAACCTCCCAGTTTTGGAGCACAGACTGCCTGCCTCACTAATCCCCGACAGCGGATGATAGCATCGGAGCTCATTAATGCGCTAAATCCCTGCTTAGAAATGCACAGCTTTTACTCAACATTATTCCTCGGAAACAACAGCAACAGCTGGATTTACACAGCACCGCTCACCTCGGAGCACTTCTGGGTGCCTTTTACAAGGATGGTACAGATGGCCAAGCTAGGTGCTAAGTGGAGGAGGGGACACACAGTTAAAGAGGTTTCAGTATTAGGGTGGAGAGCAGCTGACAGCTCAGCCACCGATTGGGGGCAGGGACAGTAGGCCTGAGTTGGGGAGAATATCATTATATTATAGTGAGAAAAGCTCCCTATGCGCAATTAGCTGCCACATTTCGCCCACAAAAAAATAGTCAACTCACTTTACAGTATATTCTGTGAAGCGCTTTGAGACGTCTTGAAGATGTGATAAAGCGCTATATCAAATGCAAGGATTATTTATTATTATTATAAATGCTAAGCCAAGGTTCCTTCAGCCTGTTGAGAGGGATGGTAAAGGTCCTGTGGCACTACTGTAAAAAGTGGAATTTGTCATGCGGTGATTCACTTCATGGCTGTTTGTTGGTCATTGCTGTGTTCAAATGGGCTGTTGTGTTCACCTGGGAAATACACAGACCACCACATTTTACAGTATATCTTGTGAAGAGCTTTGAGATGTTCTCCTGAAATGAAAGGCGCTATACCAAGTGAAAGGATATTGTGCCTGCGTTAAGTCAGGCTTACTATGCAACAAGGTCACTGTGAGTTCAGGCTAAATTGATCCAGAGTGAATGTGATATGGCAGAGTTTACATCACTTCTCCTCCCCCTTCCTTCTCCCCACTCCCCTCCTCTCCCGCTTTGCCTCAGGGCTGTGTTTTCCTCCTAGTCTGTTTCCAATTACTTCAATCACAGCTTGGAGTTAGCATCAGGAAGGCAGGAACTCAACATTGTTGAGGATTAATAACTTGCACGCCAGGAATTGCTTTGTATGACCAGTCTTACTGCCACCCCTCCATTCTGTCTGCTTATCTATATATTTTGCTGTTTTAATACTCTCCAGTAATGCTGGGTGGTGTGTGGGTGTGGGGGGGGGGTGTCCATGAATGCCTTTCAGTACCTCCCCTCAATATAAATGTCACCTCCTAGTTTCTAATCTTATTCCTGAAATATTTCTGAATTTGGCTTCGAGTGTATGTCTGACTTCGAGTATCATTGCAGAGATTATCAGTGAGCAAACACACACAGTGGCTGTGCAGTGTGGACCTGGTATAAAAACCACACAATGGCCTTTTATCAAACGGCCAAAGCACTTCCCAGCAAAGTGTCGTTATCTGCAGTGAAGGGAGTTACAGGAAAGGCACCCAGACTCTCTGGGGTGAGAGCTGCCAGGCATTCCTCTCCGCACTGACCCACTGTGAAACAAGCTGTTCCTTCAAGCGCCACATCACACCAGAGCAGTGAGGCAGCAAACCTAAAGTGGTGCTCATTCCTCCATTAAAGCGCACTCTCAACTATAATCTCATTTCCCTGCTCTTTCCCCATTGTGTCGATTCTGGTGCTCAGTCCCCTGGAGCTCTCAATTCTAATCCCATTCCCTGTTCTCTCTCCCTATCGTGTCTGTGCTGGTGCTCACTCTCCCACTGGAGCTCTCAATTTTAATCCCATTTCCACCCACCATCGTGTCCGTTCTGGTGCTCACTCATTGGAGCTCTCTACTCTAATCCCATTCCCCTGCTCTTCCCCCCATCATGTCTGTACTGGAGCTCTCTACTTTAATCTCATTCGCTCCTCTCTACCCATCATGTCTGTGCTGGTGCTCACTCCCCCACTGGAGCTCTCTAGTCTAATCCCATTCCCTACTCTGCCGCCCCCACCCCCATCCTGTCCGTTCTAGTGCTCCCCCACTGAAACACTCTACTCTTAATCCCATTCCTTACTCTCTCCCCATTGTATCTGTGCTGGTGCTCGCTCCCCCACTGGTGGTCTCTACTCTCAACCCCATTCCCCTTCGTATCCTTTTATATATTTCCTCTTCAAAAATTGAGCACTGAGCCTGTAACTGCCTGTTTCTAAACAGGAACTGGGAGGTTTCCGGTCTTTCGATTCTCTTGGTCTAACGGACAAGTGTCCTGTGCTGATGAAAACTGAGGGACACTTACCACACAACAGGGGGAGGTTCTGCTTGTCACACACAACTCAGCACTGAGCAGCCTAACCACAGTTCTGCTGTCAGCAGCAAGTGGGTGGAGACTCAACTCAGCGAACAAACAACTCTCAAATCATCTTCCTGTAAATGGAAAAAGAAGTTTCAATCTCTAGTCAGCACTGGGGAGGAGAGATGCTGCGCTCACATTGGCCTCAATGACTCTGGGTTGGGAAGCGGGAGAAAACAGACCTGGTTCCTGCTCTCGATCAATATCAAGTTAACCCCCACTCCCGGGCTGGACGGTTTGTGTGGATGAGAACAGGATGAGGCTAACTGATATGCCCTCCCCACCTCCTGTTGAATACCCTTCAGATACTCTATCTGGGCTAAAACACAAACAGGCAATGGACCCTGTTACTGGAGTGTACCCAGAGCAGAGGAGGGGAAAAGCCACAGAAATAAAAGGGAACAGGCAGGCTCAACTATGGCTTGAGCCACACACCAGGCTAAACGCTTGAAGATCACATAAACGTTGTTTATGTTACTTATGGTTTCAGATCTTCATCTCCGCAAAGGACGTGCACAGGGCGGATCCTGGCTGGAAGCCAAGCACAATACTGGGAGTGGAGCATGATGTCTCCAAACCTAGCCCAGCCCCAGCCCGCCTGTGATCTTCAAACTTCCATTCCACACTACAGCAGATAGCGAGAGAATGAGTGAGAGAGCGAAATAGAGGAAAAATAACAAATGGAAAAAGTGATAGGGAGTGGAATGGAGGGAGAAAGGCACAGAGACACACACCTGCCAACTGGAAGCATCAGATGGGCACTGAGCTTTGCTAATTTATAAAGGGAAAGTTCCAGCCTTGATTATAACAGGTGTCTTCTCAGGACAGTCAGGTTTGCCCTGAACTCACAAGCAGGAAGCTCTCTCATCCCTTCCCCCAGTACAGACTCTCAGTCTCTCTCCACTAATCTCACTAATGAGGCTGTGAACAGCGCGCCCAGGGCTGGGGGATGGAGCATGTACAGGGCTCAGCCCTCATTTCCTTCCTGATTTCTGAATAACTCAGACAACAAGGGGGCATAATGCAGGCCAGATACTCAATCTTGGATCTATTATGTCCCATGTGTAAACCATGTGCAAATGCTTGTGTTCTGAGGGAATTATGGGTGCCCTTAACAGAGGTGTAATTAACAAGCAATCGAAAAAGAACAAGTTGTTCGGGAATCCTGACAGCCAGGTGTTGAAGAAGCAACCTGAGACGGCCTCTCTCCGTGTCCGGGGCTGCTCTGTGCACACTGAAAGCTCTTTACCGCTGGCTGGGTACTCCAGGCTCTATGCAGTACTCTGCGTGCCCAGCGGGTTGTGCTGTGCCCTAGGTTTGCAGGCATCAGTCAACGTCTGTGGAGGATCTCCTTCGAGTTGCAGGGACGCACTGTAACCAAACAATACTACAGGCACAGACACAAACAACCACAGAGCCGAGCCACAGAGCATGGTACAGAGCAGAGCCATGGAGCTAAAGGGGCCAGATGCGGTACAGTGTTACTGCTTTTTTTATGATGTGATGCTAAGCAGCTGGTAGAGGCGTGTTCATGAACAGAAGTCCTATAGAACAGGGAGATGCTAATCAGTAGGCACACACACCTTCATTGTTTTTTTAAGAGTGATGGCAGTTAGGGTAAGGCTCTGTCGCGCCCTCTTACGCTAAGGCAGGGCTGTAGCTCTTGAGCACAAAGTTCTGCAAAAGATAATAGCTTCTCCCTCCCTCGTCTAATAATAATAATCCTTGCGTTTGATGTAGCACCTTATCACATCCTTGAGACGTCTCAAAGCACTTCAAAGAATATACTGTAATGTGAATTGACTGTATATTTTGTGGGCGAAATTTGCAGCCAATTGCATACAGCAGTGTCCCACAAACAGTTGCGGATTGAGTGACCTAATTATTATTTTTTTGGAAGGGATTATTATCCCCGGAAAAGCGATCCGCCAATCGACTAATAATTGGGTTCCTACTTACTGCTAGGTAAATAGAGGCATGTGGAGTAAGGAAACTTGCCCAATGTTTCGCTCTGCCCTGGAATCGAACCAAGGTCCTCTCGCTTGCGAGGCGAGTGCTATTGACGTTGCTATTGACTCCCCTCTTCATTTCCTAAGACAGCAAGAATTTTGACGGTCCAAAATTCCTCACTCTCCGTCTCTCTCTCTCTCTCTCCACATGACACACCAGCACATCAGAAAGAAATCAAGCCACCATTTCCAATTAATCCCATTTTGTTTTACAGACATTTCCCTGGCATGAAAGGCACTCTATAAATATTGGGACATTCTGCAGACACTGGGAGCGACACTGCAACTTTAAGAGCTGTTGCTATGTAACCGAATGTGGTTTGGAATTTGGCTTCACTGGCCAATGGCAAAATGCTTTTACCCTGGAATTATCGAATAACAGGCTCGCCCTCAAGCAGTCAGCTGTGATTTGTTGGTTTAAAGTAGCTGGCCAACCAATTGTAAAACGTTGCATTTCACGGAACAAAGTTTTAATCACAAAAACGTCAAGAAGTTATTTTTTTCCTTCCCCCCCCAATTGAGAGGTATCAAACCAAACGCTGAATGAAGATGATCAGATCAACGTCAACAAATGCACCCAGAGCAGTCTCGCTCACTCTGTGTGTGTGTGTGTGCCTCTCTCCCAATCGCACAGCACATATGCTGCGTCACAGAAATCCAGTGCTCTCACATTTACTACATTGTCTCCAGAGGTGCTGATTTAAAAAATCTCTTGCCTCGCAAGGGACAGGACCTGGGTTTGATTCCCGGGCACAGCAAAATGTTAGGCAAGTTTCCTTACTTCACACGCTTCTGTTTGCCTAGAAGTAGGAATCCGGTTATTAGTTGATTGGCGGATCGCTTTTCCGGGAGTAATAATCCCTTCAAAAATTATTTTTTTATTTTTTTTAAAATGCAAAAATGTAGTCACTCGATACGCACTCCTGTGCGTAATTGGCTACTGAGTTTCGCCCACAAAATTTACAGCTAATTCACTTAACAGTATATTCTGTGAAGTGTTTTAAGACGATTTGAATATGTGATGAGGCGCTATATCAAATGCAAGGATTATTATTATTAAAGTGTTACCGATGGAGCCAGGGACAGCACGTCAATGCCCAAGGACAGTGTGTGCCTGCATAGAGTCTTGGCATCAGTAATATCATGATGTAAGACATTCAAGCTTGTCCATTTTCCGCTGCCAAATTATGGGAGCGGAATTGTGAAACACAACAGAATAGTGTGTTTGCAGTGGCTGAGTAAAGCCATGTGAAAATATCTGGTCTTCTGTGTTGACAGCAGCAGCCAGTGTAGAGGAGAAGACTCAGTTACTAGCCTTATCATTGACTATGAACAGGAAACAGAGGCGGTTGTGCAGTGATGTGAAAACGCACTATTGAATGTTTAGTATTAGGCTTGAGCCACACTCAAAGACTTTGAACACAGGTCGAGGAGGAGCGATGTGGCCCATTTACAGAGCAGCCACAGACCTGCGGCAAGCACCTCTCCCTCTCTCTCTCTCTCTCGCTTTGGTGCGTGTGTAAAACTTTGGTCTTCATTCAGCCTCAGGGGAAAGAGTAAATTCAGCTGCAGTAGACCCTTGGCTGTCTCGTGCACATTAGATTTTGCTTTGCTCCCAGCTGGGGGCAGGGCCTGTCTGTGCCACAGGTAACATCATCACTGACACTAAACAGTCCCCGGCCGGCCCGCCAGCCTCAGCACAGTGACCTACGTGGCAGGCTCATGAAAACCAAAACTCCCCTAAACGTACGGCGCCCCTCGCCATTCTGATGGACTGTTTCCCGCCACTTTAGATCCCACAGGAGCTCGCAGCCACCAGTAATGAGGCGCAAAGCAAGCTGCAGTGAACACAGGCTGTAGATGCTGTTATTACCAGCAGGTGATGCTGCAGGCAGCGTTGCTGAGGTTCAGCAGGTTCACTGTATGAGGCCTGACGCCCACATTCCGCACACGGCGTGGATAGCAGAGCTACATCTCGTTGTGTGTTCTCCGAGGCTACTTCCTCCTCCCCCGCACTGTGATATTTGCATCCTGCCTGATGATAATGGTGTGCATTTCTTACAGCGCCTGTAACACTGATGTTCTCAAAGGGCCCCTCCACAGGGAATTGCTGTTGAGTGTATATTTGTAGGTGGATGTGGCAGCCAATCTGTGACAGCAATAGCTTGACTGCCACACACAGGCGCACACGCACACACATACAAACAAACGAACAGAGAGCACACACTCACACACACAGGCACACACACACAGGCACACAGGTGAGATAGCCCATTTAGATTTTTTGCAGCGGGGCGGGTGAGGTAAATGGGAATTAGGGGAATTATTGACCAGGAACCACATTTCCTTTTACAGGAATGTAAAAGGAAATTTTGCAAATTAAAAAGGTAAAGAAAGAAAATTGTAAAAGTGGAGAGGAAATAGACAGGGGGTGGGGTGGGGGGGAGGGGACTTGTGTCTGCTGCGGTGCACAGAAATATCCCTGCAGCCTCTCTCTCGGGTGGGGAGGTGGGAGAGGATCAGGCCTGCGGTCTGTCACTTCGCAGCCACCGTCACTCTCAGCCCCTTCCTTTTCCCATGGTCAGTTTCTCAGTTTCTCACCGACTCAGCCTGACAACGTAAGAACCTAATCTAAATCCTATTTAGTCAGGCTTCAAGAGTGAATAGGTCAGAAAAAGCCACCCCTTAAATACCTTCCCAATGGCTGGGAGACTCCCTCCAGCAAATGAGTGGAGAAGAGGGCAAGTTGAGGTGCACCAGAGGGTTTTGAAGCCTACCTTTGTTCTGTAAATTCTCGTCTTCCTTGCGCACATTTCAGTGAATGCCATCATCCTGAAGCTCGATGTCACCACACCTTCAAACTCCATGTTCACAACCTGCGAGCAGGCCAGAGCCAACCATCAATATCCAGTTGAGAGCTTGTTATTATACATCGGCAGCTAAATTCCCCATGACAGGACTCAGTGCTCCCTGTACACACATCAGGTACAGCCTGGAGCACACGTTCTGTTCACATTTACATAGAAAATCACCTGGAGATTCATCACTGAGCACGGTGGCAAGTCTAAGCACTCTGGGACACTGCCCTGTGTGAGGGGCGCTTGATAAATGCAAGTTGTTGTTATGTCAGTTACCTGATTGGTGATGAAATCATTATCGCATTCGTAAATGCATCTCCCGTACGGGCCAGTGTGAAGTGCCGCAGTCACCAATTCAACATCGATGCTCGTTCCCTCACAGATAACCGAGACAGGCCACCCTGTGTTACCCTGAGCAGCAAACGGATAAACAAACCTCCCATTTGTACAACCCCTGTAACACTGAATCGTATCAGAGCACTTTACAGGGATTGTTGTGCAGTACAGTAAATCACAACACATGAGGTGAGTGAGAAATTAATAATAATCCTTGCATTTGATATAGCACTTTATCACGTCTTCGAGACATCTCAAAACGCTTCACAGAATATATTATAAAGTGAATTGACTGCATATGTTGTGGCCGAAACGCAGCAGCCAATTGCGCACAGCAAACAGTCGTGAATTGAGTGACAAAATTATTCTTTTTTAGGTGAATGATAAATTAGTCTAGAGAACTGTCAGCCAGGATACCAGGCAAATTCTCTTTTCTAATCGTATTGTAGAATCTTCAACTTTCACCTAAACGGGCAGACATCTCCCAGAATGATAGCACCATCCTACACCAGCCCCCTCAGCACTGCACTGGAACTCCAACCTCGACAACATTCCTTGTAAAGAGCTCGTGGTGAAAACAGCACTGAGTCGAGTCCCAGCATTTATACCACTGGCCACTTTAGCACAGTGTAACGTCTGCAACACACATCACAGCTTAGCCAAAGTTTTAACGGCATTTATTATCGGCCTTTCATTTCAGCAGGTGCTTTCCTATCAGCTTTCACATCTACCCCTCTCCCCGGGTCTCACATGGCTGAGACAGTGCCTGCCAGCAACATCCCCTACTCCAGTGAGCTACCAACCCTAGCGCTTCACCAGATGTCTGTCCTCCCCCCTGGGGCACAATAGCTAAGCTGTGCTGCTGTATCCCAGCGATGCCAGCAGAAGGTACCAGCTTTTGTAAGCGGCTGCCTGAAGCCCAGCCCTTCCCTCTCCCATTCAGCCTCTTGCCTCTCTCGCTCTTTTTAAATGCCCATTCGTCATTCATACCGCATTAGTGACCCCCCTCCCCCACCCGCACAGGTTTAATGAGCAGATGGCTCAGTTTGCGTAGCCTGTAAAAACTGTGAACAAAGCCATCCTTAATTGTATGACCTTTGTACCAGCAGGCTGACAGAGGCAAAGTCCCCTCTCTCCATGGTAACTGGTGTCCGGTGTCTTTGTGGCACTGCTGATGGTCAGAGCACAGGTGATTATAGGGAATCAACCGGAACTAGTATTCAGCACTCACCCCCCACCCCCTCTTCTGCCCATGTCTTCCCCATTGCCTGACTGTATTAAAATAAAGCCACATTACGTACGGTCCGCTCATGCAGTGACACCGCATGTACCAGGTGCACTGGATCCCTGCACCACATGCACAGTATGTTAGACTCAATCGAGTCTGGCCTTAACACGTGCCAATCGGTTGATTTGACTCTAACTCTGAATCTGACCTCTTCGCATCACCAAACTTGGCGTCAGCAAAAAACAGAATCAGGAGTAATAAACCTTGAGTTGTAATAATCTGCACACATTCGTCATCTCATCACCACAATGTCCTTATAGCGCTTCACAGGATTTTACTGTAAAATTAATTGCTTGTTTGTTTGTAATAGGCAATTGCACACAGCAATGTCCCTCAAACAATCATGAAATTTTATTTGGGGAATTATTTGGCCAGGACACCGGGAGAAACTCTCTTCTCTTGTCAAATAGTAGTGCAATAAGATCTTTAACATCCACTTGAACAGGCAGTCAGGACCTTGGGTTAAAGTGTCACCCAAAGGATGGTACCTCCGACAATGTATCGCACCCGCAGTGCTGCACTGGAGTGTTGTCTTAGACTTTGTGAGTTCAAGTCCCAACATGGGGCTTAAACCCACAACCTTCTGACTCAAGAGGCAAAAGTGCTACTACCAATGACATTGCCGCCGGCATGAGGAGAGAGAGAGCGCTCCCAGCGAGGATTCCACCAGTTGCTCTGCTTACCCGCTTCACTCCTTCCAGGTAAAGTTTCTTAGCAGAGAAAGGGCAGGTCTGCTCACAGCCCAGTCGATACAACGATCAGCTGCACCGTCAGGCTGGACAAAAGTGGGGAGAGATTTATTATTATTTATTTGTTTTTGTTAGGGATTATTACCTCTGGAAAAGCGATACGCCAATCGACTTAACAACCGGGTTCCTATTACTGCTAGGTAAACAAAGGCGGGTGGAATAAGGAGACTTGACCAACGTTTCACCCTGTCAGGAATCAAATTCGGGTCCTCTTGCTTGGGAGGCAAGTGCTCTAACCACTGAACTGCAGGACTCCACAAGATCCTACAAAGGATGATAGCTTTGGAACTAATAGGTAACAGCAGAACTCGGTACTTGGGGTGAAATACTGGAGGGTCCATGGACCAGATCCCCAGTGTGAATCACTAGTCGGGAGAGAAGAGAGAAGAAAACTGATGAAATAAAAAAACCTCACCCATAGGAGGGTTACCCAGCAATACTGACCTTGTTCTCTCTGGTGAAATGGGATAGCGACACAAATGATGAAACTTTGACACACCTTAAAAGGACACACGAGTGATCACATGGCACCCTACACCAGACTGCGGGGGTGGGGGGGGGACACATCAGTGGGGGCTGGGAATCGGCAATGCTCTGGGGTTGGCTGGTTTGAACTTGGTTCACTGGGTTAGGTACAGCAGCTAGGAATATGTACTAAATATTCCCATCACAACAGTCACACCTAGAGTGCAAGCTCAGGTCGTGACAGAGCTCTGGTGCTGTCTGCTGGCGCCATCATTAAAGATTTATTTCTTCAATTATCGATTGTAAACGAGCAAAACCACTGGCTACAGAAAGCAGACAGCCAATGGTCTCCGGAACTGGGGCCTGGGTCTGGGGTTAAACACTGCGTCTAATAAGCCACAGGCTTATGCCAGAGGTTTTATGGAACCAATTACTGGCAGATTATTGTTCACTTCAGTGGGGAAGAAATCAGTACTAACTGCATCTGCAGCCTGTTGTTTGCTCTCACTGTATCTCTCTTCATTCCAAAGCTGTGATCTTTCAAAATCCTTCCAACCTGCTCACTTCCTCTGCTCGGAGGGCACTGGCCTGCTTCACATTCTCAGACCTGCCCGCCCGACCATCGATTGTCGAGCTTTCCGTCCATCTGCCCCCACTTTCTGGAACTCCATCCCAGAATCTTTTCGCCTCACCCCTTCCCTTGCTCCATTCAGGTCTATCTCAAGACCTTCCTCTTTGACCATACTTTCGGTTATCTTCCTGAATCCAATTAATGTGTATCATCCACGAAATTTTCACACAAGAAAATATTTATATACATGGTAATTAATTACACCTCAATTAATTCCTTCTTTCCCAAGTGTGTCTTAGTCCTTTCCCCGTCCCCCAAAGCACGACTGTGGAACTCACCTCCTTCCCCCCCCATCCAGCTATTGATGGTGTTGATGTCATGGCAAGATATAGCCAGCAGAGAACGTGCTCTCCTCTTCACGTGTCCAATTCCCCTGCACAAACAAGTGTGCAAAGTGATAATAACCAACCTACAAGAGACGTATGTTTTACAGACTGAAGGCGAGTGAGGGTCACTGTCAGGGTATATATCAGCGTGTGTGTGAGGGTCAGTGTGAGTGAGGGTGTGTCAGGATGTGTGTGAGGGTATGTGTGTGAGCGAGAGTCACTATGAGAGGATATGTGAGGGTTCGTGTCAGGTTGTGTGCGAGGGTCAGTGTGAGGGGATATGTGAGGGTCAGTGTGAGTGAGGGCGTGTGCTAGGGTCAAGGTATGTCTAAGTGAAAGGTTGTGTCAGGGTCAGTGTGTGAGGGTCTGTGTGAGGGTCGGTGTGTGAGGGTCTGTGTCAAGGTCAGCGTGTCAGGGTCAGTGTGTCAGGGTCAGTGTGTGAGGGTCTATGTCAGGGTCAGTGTGTGAGGGTCAGTGTGAGGGTCTGTGTCAGGGTCAGTGCGTCAGGGTCAGTGTGTGAGGGTCAGTGTCAGTGTCAGTGTGTGAGGGTCTGTGTGAGGGTCAGTGTGTGAGGGTCAGTGTGTGAGGGTCGGTGTGTGAGGGTCAGTGTGTGAGGGTCTGTGTCAGGGTCTGTGTGAGTGAGGGTGCGTACCGGGGTCATGGTATGTCTGTGTGAGGGTCGGTGTGTGAGGGTCGGTGTGTGAGGGTCGGTGTGAGGGTCAGTGTGTGAGGGTCAGTGTGTGAGGGTCAGTGTGTGAGGGTTGTGTTAGGGTCAGTGTGTGAGGGTCTGTGGCAGGGTGTGTGTGAGGGTGCGTGTCAGGGTCAGTGTGAGGGTCTGTGTTAGGGTCAGTGTGTGAGGGTCTGTGTCAGGGTGTGTGTGAGGGTCAGGGTCAGTGTGAGGGTCTGTGTTAGGGTCAGTGTGTGAGGGTGTGTCAGGGTGTGTGTGAGGGTCTGTGTGGGTCGGGTGTTGAGGGTGTGTGTGAGGGTCTGTGTTAGGGTCAGTGTGTGAGAGTGTGTGTGTCTGTGTCAGGGTGTGTGTGAGGTGTGTTAGGGTCAGGTGTGGGTCTTGTCAGGTTGTGAGGGTCAGTGTGAGGGGTTCAGTCCGGGGTGGGGTTACTCACGGGCTCGAGGGGGTGGATGTGGGCCACGTGACCAACGGCTCCCCGCGAGCAGCTCCTGCAGGCACGTGACATGAACGTCAGCCAATCACAGCGACCGCCCCAGCCACAGCCCCGCCCCCCGAGAACATGATGGAAAATTCCACCCGCGTCTCGCGCAGCCTCAGTGCGTCACAACCCCCCCACACACACACCCCCACCCCCCCCACACACCCACACCCCCCCACACCACCCACACCCCCACACACACACCCACCCCCCCACACACACACCCACACACCCCCCCCCCCACACACACACACACACACACCCCACACACACACACCCACCCCCCCCCACACACACACACCCCACACACACCCACACCCCCCCACACACCCCCACCCCCCCCACACACACCCACACACACCCCCCCCACACACCACACCCCCCACACCCACACACCCACACCCCCCCACACACACACACACCCACACCCCCCCCACACACACCCACCCTCTACCCCCCCCCACACATACACACACACCCCCCACACACACACCCTACACCCCCTACCTCCCCCACACACCCCACACACACACCCCCCCACACACACACCCACACGCCCCCACACACACACACCCACACCCACACCACACACCCCCCCACACCCCCCACACACACACATACCCCCCCCACACACACACACCCCACACACACACACACACACATACCCCCCACACCCCCCCCCCCCACACACACACACACCCCACACTCCCCCCCCCCCCACACACACACCCCCCCCACACACCCCCCCCCACACACACACACTCCCCCCCCACCCCCCCCATACACACACCCCTCCCATACACACACCCCCCACACACACCCACACTCCCCCATCCCCCCACACACACCCCCCTCACACACACACACACACCTCCCCACCACCCCCCACACACACACCCCTCCCCAACACACACCCCACACAGACTCATACACTCACAACCCCCCCACACACACGCACTCTCATACACCCCCCTCACACGCACACAGACTCTCCTACATAAACACACTCCACAAAACACACACAGAGAGACAGATTCCCAAACACAGACTCTCACCCCTACACACACAGACAGACTCACACACACCAAACTCCCCCCCCCCACACACACACAGACTCTCATACACACACACGCTCATACACACAGCCCTCTCGCCCCCTACAACAACAAGATTCCATTTATTGAGCGCCTTTCACGTCAGGAGGCCGTACCGAGGCGCTGCACAGTTGGGTCAGGACCTGAGCATTGGGGGGAGATGGTCAGGGTGAGGGGAGGGAAGGGAGGGAGCGAGGAGGGGGTAGAGAGTCGAGAGAGGAGCTGAAGGCTGAAGGTCAAAGAGAAAGGTCTTGAGACCGGCCTTGAAGGAGGAAAGGGAGGAAGCGGCGAAGGCACTGGGGATAGAGTTCCAGAGCCTCGGGGCTGAGAGGCTGAAGGCCACTGATGGTCGGGCGGTTGGGGCGGGGGATGTGGAGCAGACCGGAGCCAGAGGAATGGAGGGTACGGGCAGGTTCGTGGGGGATAGTAGGTCAGAGAGGTAGGAGGAGCGAGGCCGTGAATGGCCTTGTAGGTGAGGGTGAGGATCTTGAATTCGATCCTCTGGGGGATGGGGAGCCAGTGGAGGCGAGCGAGGGTGGGAGTGAGGGCGAGGGTGAGGGTGGGAGTGATGTGGTCGCGGTGTCTGGTGCGGGACAGTACACGAGCTGCAGAGTCCTGAATGACCTGCAGTGTGGAGGGAGGGCCGGGAAGGCCGACGAGGAGAGAGGTCCCACAGTCCAGGTGATAAAGGAGTGGACCAGAGATTCAGCTGCGTGAGGGGTGAGGTAGTGTTGTAGTCTGGCGATGTCCCCTACAGATGGACTCTCATAAAACATCACAACCATCCCCCACCCACATACACAAAGACAATTCCCCCCCTCCCCCCACCCACACACACAGACTCTCATACACACAGCACCCACCCCACTCCACAGTCACAGACGGACTCTCACACACACAATCCCACCCTTCCACACATACTGACAGATTCTCATACACAAAACGCCCCCCACACACACAGACTTTCATACACACAACACCCCCCCCCCCCCACACACACACACAGACTCTCTTCTGATGTCAGAATGAAGGTTGGTGGACCGGACACGTTGACTCACTGTCCTTTCTCCATAGATGCTGCCCAAACCGGCTGAGTGATCCCAGCGACTTCTGTTTTCGCTTCAATAATAATTTGAGTTGTTCAAACAATGTATATACACAAGTTGTGTAAACCATGTGGAAATTCAGGTGCATTAGAGGAGCTGTGTAACCCGTGTAAGTGATTTTTGCCATAGGTAGCCGGTGCTGGAGGGCTGGGGCATGGGGGTCATATGTGGGCCACTCAGTCTGCCGCTCACCTACCCGTCCTGTCTGTCTGTGCAGGGACATGGTTAGCGTCAGGGCTAACTGACACCACCTGTTGTTTGTGCTTCTTGTATTACTTGGGCTCTCCCGCGGCAAGCAGTTGCTGTTACAGGGAATCAGATAGGAATTACTTCTTTCTATCATCATACAGTATTACATGGGTGTGCGTATATATGTATGTATATACATAAACTCGGAAAGAAATGGTTGCAGGATACTGCAGACCAATATTGGAGCTTCTCCCAGCTCTGACAGACAACGCCTCCCAAGCAGACTGCTAACTTTCCATCAAATGATGTTGCGCAACTGTTCATCACAATACTCTTATTCCAATCATATCAAGGCACTCAGCCTAAGCAAGTAACTGAGTGGTACTGACTGTTCCCCATGTGAACATGGAGATGAGGTCAGTGACCAGCGGTGAATTTCGATGGGGAGAGGTAGAGGGGGAGGAACTTTTCCTGCAAACAGCAACGCGGCATCTTTCAGGTCTTCCGGAAAGAGGCAGACGAGGATTTTAAATATCTGTTCTGGAGGACAGTTAAAACATGAGGAAAGTTTTGTAGAACTTCAAACCCTTTGTTAATGACACATTTTCCTTCTCCCAAGAATATTAGCAATAAAGTTGCTCACACGGGCCTGCTTCACAGCCGCCACTGACCATCAATCAGTGGACGAGCTCTCAGCTATCCTGCCTCCGTTCTCTAGATCTCACTGTAGAGTCCCTCCATCTCACCCCCTCCCTTCCCTTCCCATCGTTAAATACTGCCTTGAGACCTTTCTTTTCAATCGTGCTTTTGGTCCCTTTCCCCCCCCCCCCCCATTCCCCCCCCCATTCCGCCCCCCCCCCATTCCCCCCCCACCCCATTCTCCCCCCTCCTTGACTACCCCTACTCCCAGTTCACTCTGTGAAGCACTCTGAGAATGTCCTGCTAACGTAAAAGACGCTCTAAATGTAAAACTTGTACAGCGTTAGCGGCTGTTCATGCTTCATCCTCTTGTACAGTCCCTGCAACTTGCAGCAGTGTTTTCTGGCTTCCTCATCTACATATCAATCGTTCTGTTCTGCCAGCAGTAAACTACAGTGTGGTTTGCGCGCCAGGAAATGCAGAGTGTTTTGAATGAGAGTAGAACCACCTCCCCTGGACAAGGAACAATCGTAGGCAATGGATTTGAAATGCAAAAACACACAAACCAGGAGACACATCAAAGCAACATCAAACACTTGGCCCCCAAAGCAGACAATCTCTCTGCTTCTGCTGTTGGTCAGACAAGGAGCAGGGACAAGTGAAGTGGGAGGCACTTCACGGCTTTGAAGAAGTAACCCCTGAGAGTTGTTCTGTTTGTGCTAAAAACGGAGATTTTAAATCCTCTTTTTTGTTGTGTCTCAGTGTTCACAGAATAAGAGGAAGGCTTTCTGGCCGACGTTGCCTGCCATTTCCCCATTACAAGAACGTATACTTTAACACAGCATCTTCCACATTGGATAATGCCTCCCGGTGCTTTGTAATGACAACAACTTGCACTTATATAGAGCCCTCGCGCAGGTTAGTGCCGCAGAGCGCTTAACAGTGACTCCTTGCATTGATACATTGTATACATTGTATATAATTTGATATATTGATACTTTTGTTTGATACTTTGTAATTTGATACTTTGTGATTTAATACTTTGTAATTTGATACTTTGTGACTTGATACTTTGTGATTTGATACTTTGTGATTTGATACTTTGTGATTTGATACTTTGTGATTTGAATACTTTGTGATTTGATACAGTGTGGGGGTAACATCACAATGTCTCAAAGCACTTCCTAGGAAACTGATGTCAAGTGATCATATTGGTTGTCAATCAAGAAGCCATTTTGCACATAGTGAGTTCCAGCAACAACCTGCATTTACAGCGTATAGCACCCGTTCATGCAGAGGAGCTTCTCAGAGAACTGCAGTTACAAACAATCACGAGGTAGATGGCTAATTTACCTGGAGAATTGTCATGAGCCGGGAGAAACGTTTGCAATAGTGTCATGGGATCTTTAACATGCATCTGAACAGACAGGACCTCGGTTTAAGGATGGCACCTCCAACGACGCAGCACTCTCACCCAGCACCGTGTCAGGGTGACCGACGGGACCATGTGCTCAAAGTCCCTGATGTATGGCTTGAACCTATAACATTCTGTCTTTGAGGCCAGGCTCTACATAATCCATAATAATAATCCTTGCATTTGATATAATGCCACAAGGCTCTGAGGTAAATAAGTCTCAGAGCTGCTGTGTGCAGGTAAACATCACAGAACAGCACAGCTGCAGAATTCAATTGAATCAATCTCTGTTTGAGCGCAGGGACTGTAGCCGCCTCAATAGTTAGCCTCTCACCTGGGACAGGTAATAATAATAATCCTTGCATTTGACATAGCACCTTATCATCTATTCGAGATGATACAAAGCACTTCACAGAATATATTGTAAAGTGAATTGAATGTATATTTTGTGGGCAAAACGCAGCAGACCAAATCATTTTTTTAAGGATTACCCCCGGAAAAGCGATCCACCAATCGATTAACAACCAGGTTCCTACTTCCTACTAGGTGAACAGAGGTGTGTGGAGTATAGGTAGATTACATCAACAGATTGGCTAATCAAAGACTGTCTCTTCTAATATGTTACTGAGAAACCAGACGGGGTGGTGGGGAAGGTGTACAGTGTCCCTGACGACGCTGCTGTGTCGCTCACAATCGCTATCAGGATTCATTCTCCCTCCACTCTCAGGTCGCTGTTGTGTTGAGAGTGCTGCGCTTCCCAATATAGCCACCGGGGGGCACATGAGAACAGCTCAGCACCAAACCTTGTGCTGTGTTACTTTCTCTCCGTCAACCACAGCACCCGCCGTGTGGACCATCAAACCCACCGAGAGCAGCCATGCGCTTCACTGCCTCACCCACATGGCCCTGCGTCAGGCAGTGTAAGCACAGTACTGAACAGCAGAGGTCATCCCTCACAGCCAAGCTCCGACCCTGCCCTCTCAGCAACAACATAAACAGCAAATTACATTTGTATTGCAACTTTCACGTTGGGAGGACGTGCCAAGGTATAGCCCCGATCCCACCCTCCCTGCCCAGGACACGGCTGTGGGCGAGGTACCAGAGACCCTGTCTGCCAGTACGGACGAGTGGACATGCCCCTTCCTCCCCACCTCTCCGACCTCCTAAAGCTGCCAACCTCCTCTATCAGCCTGTCAGCTTCCTCCGCTTGACGGACACTGGCTATCTTCAGGTCCCCCATACTTTCCATCCCACCATTGGTGGTCAGGCATTCAGCATCTCTGCCCCACACTCTGGAACTCTATCCCGCAATCCCGCCACCTCACCCACTCTCTTGCCTCCTTCAAATCCAGCCTAAAGACCTTCCTCTTCAACCATACCTTCGGCCACCCTCCCTATCCTCTTGACCCCAAACTTGGTTCCCAGCTTGTGTCAAAAACCTATGAATGTCCAGTGCCCTGGGATGTCTTTCCGAAGGGAAGGGCGCTATACAAGTGTAATTTGTTGATGTTGTTGGACATGAAAGGGGACAGGTAGGAAAAAAGTTTCAATACACTTTGGACTGTGGAAAGTGTATTTACAATTCAGTGGCAGATGTGTTCACATTCTATAAATAAAGCTCTGGGATCTAGCACAGAGGATATTCTCTTTGTTCCGTGTGTGTCAGGCCAGTAAAATTACTACTTTCTGCTACAGGTGTTACCGTGACTACAGCTCAGATCATCCCTGTAAATCTATAATCATTAACAGAGGAGTTGTAGCACACCACAACTGCAGACATTGTTTCTCAGCACAAACTACCCTCAGCCGTTCCATCCACAGGGCTGAGGGCAGTGGCTGAGCGTTTAGACTGTCTGCCTGATTGCCAGCCAGCGATGTGTGATGCGCTGGACAGTCCAGGGTCCGAACAGATTAGAATGCGATGTCCCTAAGGCCAAGTCCCTACTGATCCTCAGGTCTATGCTCACACCCTAAGGGGGTGCTCAGAGAGAGCCATATCCCAGCAGAGGGCGCCCCAGGAGTAGGCCATTCACTTGGCCATTCACTAGGTTGGTCCATGATCTAATAGAATGGAGGAATAGGCTCGAGGCTGTTCCTCCATTCTATTAGATCATGACCAACCTATACCTCAACTCCAATTATTAGGGGGATTCTGAAACTCCCTCACCCCTCCCTGCACCACATGCCTGTTACTCTGGGCTTATGTCCAGTATGGGAAAAACAAATCTCTAATGTGTTGGGGCAGGACTGGAATCAGATTGAACATGATAAAAGAGCAGAAGCCTGGACCGAAGGTGATCCAATCACACCAGCTGTACAGTGCTCGGTTTCTGCGGCTTAGCAGAGGCTGACGGGCGAGTTCTGACAGGGCTGAGACTTAACTGCAGCCTCTCTGGAGACACACTTTTTTGCCTAGAAATACACAATCACTACATTTCACAATTAATTCCTGTGAAGCGCATTGAGATGTATTGATGACGCGATACAGCGCTAGATCAAACAGCTAATGCTTAAGATCCCACAACACTGTTGGAAAAGAGAAGGGTGTTTCTCTCTCCCATTGTCCTGAGGTACAATTGCTCGCTCACATCAGGGATGTTTTCTGGGTGCAAAATTGCTGCCCTGTTTGTCAATAAGAACAGTCACTCCACTTGGACACTAAGTTACTGTGAAGCATTGAGAGAGAGGGAGAGAGAGAGAGAGAGAGAGCTCGCACTCAAGTGAGAGAGACTGCAAGAGAGAATGGTTTAGAGAGGGCTTGCAAGAGTGAGAGTGCGAGAGAGAGAGAGAGCCTGAGAGTGAGAGCGTGTGTGAGACAGAAAGAGAGAGAGAGCAAGCAAGAGTGTGTGTGAGAATGATAGAGGGAGAGCAAGAGAGAGCCAGTTCGGCCCCTCTGTGGAACATCGAGTGCCTCTTGTGTGCTATCCATCACCCATCGCTCAGCACTTCGCATTGCCTAATTTGGCTGTTGGATTTCTGAGCTATCAGTCAGTCAGTTCAGTCAAACAAACACTTCCTGCCTGGCTCTTACCCTCCGCTCCATGGGAAAGCTTCAAACAGCTGGAAGCAATCACATTTACTGCAGCCTTTACATCAAACCATTAGCCTTGAAGAAACAGTGTCCCTTTTGTTATTTGAAGCAACTTTCTGACTGAGTAAATCCCAAATTGCCTCTTTTGAGAACGGGTGGAATTCTACATGAGTTCCATAGGACAATGCGGGGCAAGAAGGCTGGGGGTGGGAGGGAGACAGGCCTCAGGGTCTCTGCCTCACACCCAGCCCCCGGCTCACCTCCGACTTGAGTCTGCAGCTGTTACGACTGAATGCTCAGGTAGCCGTGCTGCAGGAGGGTTACAAGTAATTTTGAGCCACCAAGGCCCCGGGTACACAAACAGACACACACACGCACACCTCACATTTCTTCTCCATGAAACACACATATGTAAGAGCTTTCCAGAGATTCCTTAACAGTGATGTGAATGAGGTGATTGCTTGGTGGGGAAAGGCAGTGAGCGGTGTGTGCCAGCGGCGTCTCGCACATGCTGAGGCCAGCAACAACAACAACAAATTACATTTGTATAGCACCTTTCGTGACAGGAAGATGTCCCAAAATGCTGACAGCAGCCTGTCCTCAGGCGACAACTCAAACCCAATAGTGTTGTGGGATCTTTAATAGGTTGACATGGTTCAGCTTAATGTCTCACCAGAAGGACAACACCTTCAGCAATGCAACTCTTCCCCCACTCCACTGCCACCCCCCACCGAGACAGCCCCCCCAGAGAGACCCCCCCAGAGAGACAGCCCCCCCTCCCGCGCCCAGAGAGTCAGCCCTCCCCAACCCCCACCACCTCAAAAGACAGCCTCGAGGTTCCAGGTGCTGATTCACACTGTATTACTGTGATCATAATTTGGGTTCCGCACTTGCAGACATGTTACAGTCTCTCTACCCAATGGCTCGGTGCCACGGCATTTAACTGGAGGGGATTTATCACAAAGCTCTCAATACAAACAGTTTCACTTCTTAAATTACAATCTAAAAATGACTGAAGTTCACGGAGGTGAGGTTAGCTCAGCTCAGCTCAGCACTGCTTCATAATGCAGTGAAACTGGTTTGAAGGGAAATACGTTAATCTGGTATTTACTGTATCACTCAGTGGTGTGTAACAGATTCAAGATAGAAACACCCTGCAATAGGGATTGAGCAGCTGCCCCAGGTTACACGATCGGCATCTGTCAACCTTCCCAGAACAACAACAACAAATTGCATTTACACAGTGCCATTTTTTCAACAACAACAACAACAGCATTTTATATAGCGCCCTTCACGCAGGGTAGGGTCCCGAAGCGCTTTGCAGTGTCGCAGTCTGACCCCGAGCCAGGGGGAGAGGGAGGCGGCGAGGTGACTGTAAGAACGATCAAGAAAGCTCTTTAGGTAGGATTTGAAAGTGGGGAGGGAAGGGGGCAAGGCAGAGGGTATGAGGGAGACAGTTCCCATCGGGAGGGCGTCCCCAGGCACTGGACAGTCAAGGGTGAGAATTTGCTTCTAGCTCGACAGCACCACACACTCTGCGCTAATACAGCTCAGGGAGGGGCACACACTCCACCCAGAGAAATCGCTGGAGGACATCATTCGGCCTATTGTCAAGGTGTCAGAGCTCAATCCCACTACAGCTCTCTTATGCTAATCCTATTCCTATTGCTCTTTCCTCCTTGTATCTATACATTCAACCCAGGTCTTGTTGTGCCTGTTCAAGATGTTATCATTATAATTGGCTGCCGGATTTCACCCACAAAATCCACAGTCAACTCACTTTACAGTATATTCTGTGCAGTGATTTGAGACATTTGGAAGACATGATAAGACGCTGTATGAAATGCAACGATTATTATGATTATTATTATAAATGTGGAATCACAATAAGAAGAGAAGGTTGTTTCTCTCTCACTCCCCAGTGTCCTGGCCAACAATCCTCCACGTAAAACTGATCATTCACATTCTGATTGTTTGCTATTCGAAAAATGCAATATTTTGAAGACTGAGGTGGATTGATATTTATTAGGTAAAGGGTATTAAGGTGTGGGGTAAGGACAGGTCATTGGATTTGAGGTCCAGATCAGCCATGATCTTATAGAATAGCGGAACAGGCTTGAGGGGCTGAATGGCCTACTCCTGATCCTATATGCTCGTAAGATGGCTACCACAGTCAATTACACAACCACTAAATCTGTCCACGATTGGGATGTGCTGAGGCATGTGAGTTACTGACCTTGATCACATGGCTCCTGCACTCACCTGTATTTTCAGGAAGGCAGGCGAGTACCTGAGCACGTGGCATATGGCTAATAGCACTCCGCTCGCCCGACACACAGACAATCTGCTGGCAATCCTCCACCGTCACCTGTCAACACACACACACATGCACACACACAAACCAAACCTGTCAGACACTCACAGTAACAGGCACGGCTTCAGATTGACCTTAACATCATGTTCACCACACTGAAAAAGCAGAGTGCATACACATGCACACGCATACGCGCACTTGCATACACACTCATCACGCAGAGCGCACGCAGCAGCCACTTGTGCACACGCGCACGTAATTGCACACATGCACACTGTGGAGCCCTGTAGCTCAGTGGTTAGAGCATTTGCCTTGCAAGCAAGACACCTGGGTTCAGTTCCAGGCTTATCCACACAGAGCCTAATAATAATCCCTCCAAAACAAAAAACAATAATAAATTGCCATGACTGTTTGTGAGACATTGCTGTGCACAATTGGCTGCCGCGTTCGCCCACAAATATACAGTCAATTCACTTTACAGCATATTCTGTGAAGCGCTTTGAGACATCTAAAAGACTTGAAAAGCGCTATTTCAAATGCAAGGATTATTATTATTATTTACTCGCATACCCACTCAGTTTACACACACACATACACAGGGCACACACACACACACACACATACATGAGGTGGGTTGTATATCCAAGATCCAATCAATCTGCACACTACAGCTGAAGCCGGTCACTCTCTGGCATGGATTGTGGACTTGGTCCAAACAAACTGAATTGAGTGAAGCTAAAATACACAAATACAGATTTGTACCGAGTCCAAACAGACGCTGAGGGGTTGAGTGCAGTTCGGGGAGTGAACAAATCCCCATTTATAGGTAGAGTTCAGCCCAACGTTGATGTCATAGACTGAGGGCCGTTCTCTGCCACTCGAACACACTGCGCTCAGCCTCCTGCTCTCTGCTCCTCCCTCCGTGTCCCCTACCCCCAGCTCCACCCCCCACCTCGCCCATCTCTTTCCGCTCCCCCACCCCTCTCACCACCCCCCACCACCACCCCAAAGTGATGACAGGCAGACATGCGCCACTGAGTGCCTGACGTTCAGTGGCTGACTCACCGCCATTGGCTTCTCCAGCAGGACGTGGTAACCTTTCCCAGCAAACGCCACGGCCAACTCCTGTACAACAGCAAACACAGTGATCGCTGAGCTCCCAGACTGCCGCCATTCAGCATGTACAGGAACAACAACAGCATCAACAACATCAATAACAAACACAACAACAACCACAACAACATCAACAAACACATGGCACGCACAGAACATGCATTCCCATCTCACTTACCCCACCCCCTCACCCAGCTTGCCCCCACCCCAGCTTGCCCTGCCCACCTCCCCGCCTCACTGTACCTTGTGCAGCCGGTCAGGGGTGGTAATGATCATGGCATCAGCAAACCTCTCCCGTGCAGCTTCTTCCATCCAATCTGCCATCACAGTGACACAAGCGGCGTTAGTGAGCAGTGCTTACACAGGCCTCGGTCTAGACATTGAAGAGCAACCGGAGTGCTGGGGGACAAGACCAGGGCACAAGCAAGGCCGGTGCGGGGGGGACGGACAGGGCAACACCACCCACCCCCCCTCCAATAACCAGGCAGGTGATGTGTCACAAGGAGTGCAGCCCTGGGAATGCCCGGAGCCCCCTCCCTTCCACCACTGGGCTGCCAGGCTCACCCTGAAAGATGTTGTCGTCAGCGATGCATATCAACACTGGAGGCTGGTCCTGGCCACAAGCCGATAGTCCGCCATCCACATCACCTGCACTAGACATCACCAGGTTAGACACCCAATTCACCAACCACACCGGATCCAAGCCCTGTGTAAACCCGGGGACTTTTATGAGAGCTGTAGAAACATGCCGGGAAAGGCCATGAGAAATCAATGTGATATAAACCATTCCTTTCCATGATTATCACAAGCAAAGTGTTACAAAACGCCGCTAATTTCATTTAGATCGAGAGCGAGTGTGTGAGAGTGTGAAAAAGAAAGTGTAAAAGAGAGAAAGTCAGATGTCCAGGGCAGTTCAGACAACTTTGAACACCAAGGAGCTGATCTTATCACATGCCTATCTTTAGTACCTTAGTTTGAGAAATGTCAGCTCTTCAAACAAAGGACATTAACTGAAAACAAATGATTAAGACAGGAAATAGTTTATCAGTGCACAAGTAGGGCAACACGGACAAAAGGCTCTGAGGTAAACAAGTCCCAGAGCTGCTGTGTGCAGCGCCAACTGTGAAAGTAAACATCACAGCACAGCTGCAGAATTCAACCGAATCAATTTCTGTGTGAGCGCAGGGACTTCAGCTACCTCAATAGTTAGCCTCTCACCTGGGGATAGGTAACAATGATAATAATAATCCTTGCATTTGATATAGCAACTTATCACATCTTCGAGATGTTTAAAAGCGCTTCACAGGATAATACTGTAAAGCGTAGTGACTGTATGTTTTGTGGGCGAAACAACAGCAGCCCATTGCACACAGCAATGTCCCACAAACAGTCGTGGATTGAGCGACCAAATTATTATCATTATTATTATTATTTTTCAAGGGATTATTACTCCTGGAAATCCTATTCTCCAATCGACTAACAACCGGGTTCCTAGTTACTACTTGGTAAACACAGGCCTGTGGAGTAAGCAAACTTACCCAACTGGGAATCGAACCTATGCCATCTCACTTGCGAAGGGAGTGCGCTAACCACTAAGCTACAAGCCTCCATACTACAGGCAACAGGTAACACTGAGTGAGCTCAGGCAGAGGTGGGGGAAGGGTGTCATGGAGACAACCTCTCTGGTGCCCAAGACTGACAACAACAGTAAGTTGCATCTATATAGCGGCCTTCACTCAGGAGAGAATGACAGTGGCAGAGCCTGATGCCGAGTCAGAATTTACCAAATATTTTGTGACCTACCTTCATCTACTCTGGGAAATCCTCAGAGAATTGGGAATAAACGTGCTCCCAGTTCCCAGCTCCGATCACCAGCACCTCCGCCCGGCCTCAACATCACCACAGCCAGTCCCTGCCTCACTGCTCATGTCACGCCCAATGTCACACGGGGAGATGCGGAGCTGGGGTGGGCGGACGGGACAGAGGGAGGGGGGGGAGAATGGAAAAGGTACAAAGGGGGTATCGTTAGGCAGCAATGGGGAACAACCAAGCCGGTGTGACGTTCCCAGCCCAGGAGGTGCTGAGGCTGATCGATAACATCCAGGCTGAGGTCAACTTACTCTCACTGAACCTGACAGCCAGACCCTTGCTCCCCCTCCAACAGAACCACCCCCCAACCCCTCCGAACTCCCTCCCCACGACAACCCCCACCCCCGAGGGAGAGACCCACTACAGAGAATCCAGTCCCTCCCAATGAGAGTGAGTGTGTGTGGGGTACGGGTGGGATAAGAAATGTAGGCACAGTTGGGGGTTGAGCCCAGTGTGTACCTGCTCTGCTCTGACCACGTCAGCTCCGGAGACGTAGCTTCCCAGCTTCTGGCTGTGAGAGAAAGTCACTGAGCTCCGGGCTGGGAAGCAGCTGGGAGCCGGTTCTTGGCTGGAGCAGAAAACTCAACTCAGTGTGTCTGAGGTCACACTGACCGCAGTGAGTCTCCAAACGCCTGCATATGTAGCTCTGTGTGCCAGTGTTTGCTCAGAACGAACCACAGTCTCTCCCAGTGGCTAAACACAGCTAAACGCAGGTCCTGTCTGGCTGCTCAGTTGGTTGACTGTTAAGGTGGCCAGGAGAAACAACCGTCTCATTTCCGATAGATTGCTGGATGTTGGATGTCCACCTGAATAGAATGGGATGGAATGAGGTTTAACATCTCATCGGAAGAGTAATAATGATAATAATCCTTGCATTTGGCATAGGGCCTTACTACGTCTTCAAGACGTCTCAAAGCGCTTCACAGAATATACTGTAAATCGAAATGACTGTACATGTTGTGGGTGAAACACGGCAGCCAATTGTGCACAGCAGTGTCCCACAAACAGTCGTGGATTTAGTGACCAATTTATTATTATTATTTTTCGAAGGAATTATTACCCTCGGAAAAGTGATCCACCAATCGACTAACAGCCGGGTTCCTACTGGGTAAACAAAGGCAAATGAAGGGCACTTCTGACAATGTAGAGCTACCCCCAGCCACCTCCCCCCCAGCGCTGCGCTGGAGTGTCAGGCTGATCTGTGACCTCCTGGCTTGAACCCACAGCCTTCTAACACAGAGGCGAGACACTGAGCCAGGTTGAGACCTGAGAACATGAATACTGTCATTACTGTGTGCACCGGGCAGAGGAACAACATAACAAATTACATGACTATCATTCCGGGAGGACATCCCAAGGTGATGGACAGTCAAGGACAGGGAACGTGGGGGGTAAGAGGGTGACTGAAACTATGGTCGAAGAGGGTCTTGAGGTGGGCCTTGTGGGGAGGCAAGGAAGGGGACGAGGCGGAGGGGCTGTGGGATGCAGGTCCAAAGGGTGGGGAAGAAAGGTTGAACCAACTTTCCCCCCAGCTTGCAGCAGAACGCACTCAGAAAGCTCCACACCCTTAGGGCTCCCCCCAGACCCTCCAGTTAGTAGTCAGCCCCCCCACCCCCAACCATGATACTGACCTCTCCTCCTCGCTGCACCTCGCTGCACCTCACATGACCTCTGACACTGCTCAGAGAATTATGCTTAAGGTGTGCGCAAAACAAAACAAAACCGTATTTGATTTTTGGGATTTTTTTTAGGAGAAAGTTTCCAATCTTTTCTCATGGAGCGAAGTTGTGAATGTCTGACTTACCCTGTGCTGTGGGCTGCGTGTCTGTCTGTGTGTCAGTCTCCACCTTTGCACAGCGCAGGTGTTATTTTAGGTTCACTCTCCAGTTGGCACCGCTCTTATCGGGGAATCTACAGCTCCAACTGCTGAGCCGAGCAAACAGACCGTTGCGTTGTGTTGTGTGTTTAAACCTTAGCTGCTGCAGTACCTGTACTCTGCTGCTAGGTGGCTCACCAGCCATGAACTCAGATAATAATAATAATAATAATAATAATAATCATGATAATAATCCTTGCCTTTGATACAGCGCCTTATCACGTCTTCGAGACGCCTCAAAGCGCTTCACAGGATATACCGTAAAGTGAATTCACTGTATATTTTGTGGGCGAAACACGGCAGCCAATTGTGCACAGCAGCGTCCCCGCAAACAGTCATGGGTTGAATTTCTTTAATATAATTTTTAAGGGATTAATTATTATCCCCGGAAAAGCAATCCGCCAATCGACTGACACCGGATTGGTTCGGATCCCAGGGTTCAGGAAGAAGAAAAGCAGACAGGTCTCCTGTTGCGGGTCCCTGGGCTGATTTTGTGCCTGGGTGTGACATCTGGTGGAGAGATGTCTGTCCGACTCGGCTTCAGGTGCGTGTTCTGCCGACACAGAGTGCCCAGGTTCACACACGCCAATGGTCGCAGGGGGGGAGGTGGGGTAATCGGAGGGTAAGACTGGGAGTAGGCAGGTGTGTGCTAGTGGGGAGAAGATTAGAAAATTAATTAAGACTCATTAAATTAATGATAATAATCCTTGCATTTGATACGGAGCCTTATTACGTTGTTGAGACGTCTCAATGCGCTTCTCAGGATAGTGGAGTGACTGTGTGTTTTGTGGGTGAGAATTGCCTGAAAAACAGTCCCACGAACGAGCGTCACTGTCAGACGGCATTCCTATCTCGTTGCCCGAATTTTACCTAATCGTAGCCTGGAGACCATTTTGCCTCCAAAAAGAATCCTTAAATTCGGTCTGAATCCGGTTTGGCCACAGTTCATCTTGTAAACCGGCTTCTAATTAACAAATTAAATTAAATTTTCCTAAAACCATGTACGACACGAAACTGTAAGACAAAAGTGGCTGAGAGCCGCCAGCCTTTGGCGAATCAGAAACTAAATGTGGTGTTAGTCAAATGGAAAAGGGATAATGAGAGAGAGAGAGTGAGTGAGTGAGTGAGTGAGTGAGTGAGTGAGCAGCAACACACAACGGCTGGTATAAAGGGTTAAATACCCACTTAGGAGCTCTGGTCTTTGCTATAACTGAAACAGCCCCAAATGGAACGCTCACATCTGGCTCAGGGGTGAGATCGCCCCCTTGTGGCCATGAACAACCAGTACTGGCGGGGTGGGGAGGTGGGGGAGGGAGGGGGTTAAGGAAATTGGGAATACAGTTTAAAAAAGAGAGACTAATCTGTGTGCAGCAGTCAAATAGGAGGAGTAACGCCGGGTTAAGCCCTGAGATGGGCTTGCACACGGTCTGTGTGGCTGAGGTCACTGCGTGGCCAACCCCGAGCAAGCTCTCTGCTCGCAACGCAGTGTGAGCACGTCTGCCCTCCTCTGTTTATCCTGCTGTAGCTCAAGAGACAGCGAGAGAGATAGGGAGACAACCAGTGTGCAGTCAGTTGTGTCACACTCTGACCCAGCAGTCAGCTCTGCCTCCCAACTGCACCGCGCTGTGTCAGGCCGGGCTATACCAGGCTATCCCGGGCTTTGTCACGCTACGCTATGCCCTGCCAACAACAACTCAGCTGTGAGATTTTAGGACAAGCTGCCCTTTCAGCAACAAGAGAGGTTACAATATTGTTTTTGTATAGCACCTTTCACGTCAGGATGATGTCCCAAGGCGATGGACAGTCAGGGATTTAAATCCGAGCTGGGGGGCATTGGGATCAGAGAGTGTGGAGGGTAGCCGGAGGTGCGGTCGAAGAGGAGGGTCTTTAGAGGTGCCTTGAAGGAGGCAAGGGAGGGGATGTGGGGTGGAGTTCCAAAGGGCGAGGGCAGAGAGAGTGAAGGGCCGACCGTCGATGGTGGGGCTGCCCGGGCGAAGCGCTGTAAAATCTGAGGCGAGCATCATATTGCTGTAACAATAGACCAAAACCTCTCGGGTATCTTTCTCAACTCAACCTCCTTCTGCTTCGTGGGACATTGTGTGTTTGGGGATCGGGGTGTGGACTTGACAATGATTCTCTGTGAGAAACCTTCAGTGGAGACGTACACACACACACACACACAAATTTCCACCACGATAATTACTGTGCTGGGAAGCCACACAACCCAAGTCCTTTCGCATCTTTCAGTCCAAGGTCGGGGAGGTGAATAGCAGGGTCCCAGCCAATCCCAGGGTTTTATTATTGACAACTGTGACTGCTGGATGGCAGGGGGACAAAACTCCGAGCAACAAGAGGGAAGGAGACAGCAGTCACTACGGCAACATGTAACTAAAGCTTCCATCTGCAGCATGTTTTTATCTGAGAAGTTGTGCCTCAGGCACCTCCGAATCTCCTGACAGTACTCAGGCTAATCTAGACAGCAGCCTCCCTCCCTTTCAAACGGAGCTCTGCACCTGCACTGGCTTCCATTGTACAATGGAGTCCTGGAGCTCAGTGGTTAGAGCACACGGCTCGCAAGCGAGAGGACCCGGATTCGATTCCTGGACAGGGCGAAACGTTAGGCAAGTCTCCTTATTCCACACGCCTCTGTTTACCGTGCAGTAAGTAGGAACCCATTTGTTAGTCGAATTGGCAATCCAATTGACAGATAGTCAATCTAATTGGCAGATCACTTTTCCGGGGGTAGTAATCCTTTAAAAAAATGATAATAATAATTTGGCTCAGTTCGGCCTGGCTTGGCACAGCTCATTCTCCCGCCTCTGGATCAGAACACAGTGTTCCTTCCAAGCCAACACTCCAGCACAGCGCTGGGGGCAGGTGAGGGGTTGGAGCGCTGAACTGTCGGGAAAGGTCACCTTTCGGATGAGACATTAAGCTGAGCTCCCGTCTGTTTGATCCTGTGAGACAGTTGGAAAAGAGAAGAGTTTTTCCTGGTATCCTGACCAACAATTATCCAGATAAAGCGGGCATTCACCTCACGGCTGTCTCCAAATGTCTGCTGCTTTTGCCATCAAACAGTCACTACACTACAGTCCCAGCAATTACCGTGAAGCAGGCAAGGTGTGATAATGTGCTATATTTATATATATATATATATAATAATGAAAATTCTTTCTTTCCAAAATGCTTCAGACAGTTTGGTTTTCGCTGACGTTA